TATTCCTCTCTATACTATCTTTTGATTGTAAGTAGCTTCTGTCCAAGTTTGGTAAAAATCCAGGATAATTTATGAATCTAATAAATGTTTTAAAAACTTAAACTGCAGACTGTATGTAATGTTGACTGGAAGAAAAACTAAGTCCATTTATAAGTAAAATACGGAAAAAATGGAACAAAATTTTATCAAAATTTCCTTCTAGATACTAGCTTTTGATCATAAACAAGCTTCTGTCCAAGTATGGTACAAATCCAGGATAGTTTAAGAAAGTTGTTAAAATTTTAAAAACTTTAACCACAGAGTGAATGTAATGTTAACTGGCATGAAAAACTAAGTCCATTTATCAGTAAAATACGGAAAAAATGGATTTTTTTTTTACAAAATTTACTTTTGAATATAATCTTATGATCATAAACAAGCTTCTGTCCAAGTTTGGTAGAAATCCAGGATAGTTTAAGAAAGTTATTAAAATTTCAAAAACTTTAACCACAGAGTGAATATTTGTGGACGCCGCCGACGACGATGACGACGACGCCGACGACGACGACGACGACGCCGACGCCGACGGAATGTAGGATCGCTATGTCTCGTTTTTTCGACAAAAGTCGAAGGCTCGACAAAAATGAGGTTCTAGATTTTAAGCCCAACACATATTCATGAGCTTGGAACCCTGTCAGTAGTTTTCTTATACCTTATGTCACATCTGAAAGTTTATCGTTATTTGGAGCATTAAGTGTTGATGAAAGATCCATGATATATTTTTTTAATTTGTTTAAAACTTTTTATAGTAAATCTGGGGACTATTTAAAGATTGATACTGCTCAGAAGACTGTCAACTAATTATTGTTGAAGAGTTTTGTTGGTTATTTGTGTTGTTTGGTTGCTGTATCATTTAAAGATTCCCTTCATCTCTATTCATGGACGTTAAGTAATTAAATGCACATTGGGTCCTCAATGTTCTTCAACTTCATACTTTATTTTGCCTTTTTTTTTTTGTTATTCTAGCGTCACAAGCGTCTAGCGTACAAAAGACTTCCTTCTCTTCGCAAATATTCGTATTTGACGATAATGATATATATATCAAATAGAAGGTTAGATTTTTTAAATTCTAATTAGGTCTTTCCACTTTTCTGTGGAAAGACCTATTGTATTTGTTCTGATTATTATTTTTTTCTTCCGCCAAATTTTGTTATCGCGTAAAATGTTTGTTTCATAATATGTCGCTAAGATATTTCTTATATAGTAGCATACAGTTTATGCGCTTTTTATTTTCACCAATTCTAAGCCGAACAATTTTCTTTGTAAGAGTTATCTCCCTATTCACTGTTTATCAAGTGTGTGCATCTCCTTCGTAACAAAAAAAAAAGATATTAAATATTTAATACATTAACTGATCACTGAAGACTAGAAATGACTTTCGATAAACCGGAAGTGGCCAATTATCTCCTGGTTTACAAGCAAAAGTATATAGAAACTATATATTTTTGGAATCAGTGTGTAAGAAACTATTATATGATACCGGAAGTGACATTAACTTCACCGGAAGTAGCTAATTATCTCCCTTATTTCACTCAGAAGTATATAGAAATCACTTATTTATCGCATCAGTATGAAGAAACTGATGATAAGATGCCAATTTTAACTTTGAGTAAACACGAACTAGCTTCTTTTCAATAAATTTAAAAATTGCTGTGGAAAGACCTTCAATTGTTCTCTGAACAATCGGTTTTTAATTACGGACGTTTTTATAAAACAGCTTAGTGAGAATGCTTACCACCAATATGTGCATTATTACGATACGAAGGGGCGATCATCTGATTTTAGGGGGGATGGTGATTTTGAAAGGAATAACTTAGCCTGGTAAGAACTGAAAATAAATAACTTTGGAAAGACAAGATGGAAAGTAATATTATGTAACACACAATGTAACATGAAATTCAGGATTCAAATGTGTGCAAAAGTGAAAATAAATGTTCTCACAGATAAGCCGCGGAAAAAAATAAGCCCTCACTTCGACTTGGAGATGAAGAACAGCAATAAAAGCGCTGTTCCTTATCTTTTGGCGCGTGTTTTTTTTATTTATTATTTTATTTTGCTAGGCATGTACTGATTTTTGTGTCATGAATGGATACCCGATAGATATCCTTTGTTTTTCTTTTATACATGTAGCAACAGATGAAAATAAATCATCAATCTGGGAGAAATCCTCCTGTATCCAACAAAGACCAAATGTCATGGATGGAATTCAAAAATATACCTCACCATACGGCCTTCAACAATGAGCTAAACCAATATGGAATGCTATAAAAGAGCCCGGCATGACAAAATGAGAAATAATTTAGAAGAGAAAACCATTAAATATTTGAAAATGACAGCTTACAACACATCTTTGACCAAAGGTTTCTAAATTCTGTTGTCTCCTTTATCACAATCTCCAACATTTATAGATGACAGAAACATGTTCATTCTTTGACCAATATCTAAGGACGCCACCAACATTACAAAGATTACAGTTTGTGAAAAAAATACGCTGTACAATTCAAAACCACATCAAGCTCTTACCGATTTCATTACATTTTTTACAACGCTTTAAGATTTTATAGCAGGTATTCAGAATTTTGTAGCCGTATTAGTTGATTTGTGGGTAGTTTGGATGTATTTAAACATGTTGTTACTGGACTAACTTCTTATAGTCAGACTTGTCCTGTTGACACACTTCTTGATGAAACCTATGCTGCTCATAATGCTCTAGAGGACACTATACTGTTGTTTAAATTAATCACTTGTACACCACAAGTAAATGTTATTTCTGATAACATAACATACTTTGTTGTTTCTCCTAACTATCCACATAGCTGTCACATTCAGCAAGATAATTTTCAGTGAGGCAATTAATTGTAAAGCTGTATCTAAAGCAACAGCTGTGAAAGGTGCACATTCAGATTTAAGGTTGTCAAAATTAAAGTTGTCTATTTAAAGAAATGGAATAGATGGATTACCTGCCTTGTTGTCAGAACATACAAATCAGGGAAAAGCACGTGTTACTAGCTGTAAAAAGGTTATTCAGAAGCTATATGACTTTTAGACACATAAAACTTAAGGTGGCTGGAGGAAATTACAACTGACCTTGATAAATTGCTATTTTTTTAATCTATTTCTAACTTTTAAGTTACTAGTTTATATGGTTCAAATTACAATCCTCCTTATTTAATCTTGAAAATATTTATAAAAATCTTCAGTGTGAGAAACTTCATCTCAAGTTTTCTAAATTTATACTTTGTGTACACAAAAGGAGTGTACATTTTGCTGTATTATCAGAACTGGGGTGTTTCCCCTTACATTATGATATTGTAAAGTCAATTGTTAAATACTGGTATAGATTTGAAAAATTTCCGACTGAATTCTGTCAGTTGAAAGATGCTTATAAATGCAGCCAAGAGGTTCACAAATCTAACATAACGTCTTGGTTCTTATTTGTTAACAAAATATTAGAAGTTTTTGAAATTAGACAAAAAGTAAAACATTTTGGACAATATACATTTCTGAATTCACACTAAATATATTAACAATTGGTATGTTAGCCAAACAAAAAAATGCTTCTCATGGAAAATTGTTCAATCATTTGAAATTGAAAAAAAAATTTTGTTATGAAATTATTTCTCTTTGGTTAAGAATTTTGAATTAGAAATGCTATTTGCAAATTACGTATACCTGCTCATACGCTTCAAATTGAATTTAGCCGTTTTTCAAATATTCCACGAAATGAAAGAATTTGCAAAAAATGCTCCTCTGACTGTTTTGAAGATGAAATCCATGTTCTAACTTCATATGAAAAATTTAACTCTAATAGAGATGCTCTCTTTGACTTTGTTTACCAACAATTCCAAATTTGTTTATTTATTAAGCTGTGAAGACAACCAGGTCCTTAATGCTGTTGGGAAATTTATTTAAGTCAATATGAGTTAGATCTATGTATTTTTCATGTAACTATATTATATACTATAAACCAAGGGCTTTGTTACAGTTTGATTGTATTTTGATTGTGTATTTAATTATAAACTCTATGTATCTATGATAATCAATGTTCTTTTTTCCTTATACATTTATGCTCTATATGCCCCTTGTGGGCCCTTAATTGGTAATAAAAAATGTTCTTCCTGTTCTTGTTCTATAGGGGGAAGTAGAGGTCACTGTTAAGCTCACAATCAGCCCTTAGAAGAAACATACACTTTTTTCTATTGACCTTATAGGTAAAATAGAGGTTTTGAAGTATAGAAATAGAAAAAAAGACCTGACCCACAGAAATCTCTTAAATTTCCCATTTATTTAGTTTTAACATGTTATAACTATTGATGCTTGTAAACATTATATTATGGGATAAATAACAATTTTGATTAAAACAAGAACGTTGAATTTTCGGCCGAAACTTTAATACCCATTGCAACCTTACATCATGTTAACATTGTGTGTAATGTGACGTATAATTGATTGATTGATTGATTGATTTGTGCTTAATGTCACTTTCAACACTATTGTGCTATTTCGTGACGGTCAGTTTTTACTGGTGTAGGAAGCCGGAGGGCCCGGAGAGAACCACCGACCTTCGGTAGGAAAACTGACAATCCTAGTCAATTAAGATTAGAGTCGAGTGCACCTGCCCCTTACGGGATTCGAACTCACAACCTCAGTGTGTGACGTATAAAGTAGCTTGATTAGTTAAACATATCACAACCAACCGAGGACACTTCATTGTGGCAATTATTACAGATGTGAAATATAAAGTAGCTTGATTAGTTAAACATATCACAACCAATCGTGGACACACGATTGTGACAATTCTTACAAATGTGAAATATAATAAAGTAGCTTGATCTGATCAAGTGGTCAATCATACTACATTCAATAATGGAATCTGCTGATATTTTCAAACGCTTTGTACACTAATTATAATATACAACAAAATCATTTTTCTTCATAACATTTATCTTTAATTGTTTATATTAAGATATTGTAAGTTTCCAAGATACTGATTGAGCATCTCCGAGTTCGTTTTTGGCCAAACAGTAATAAATTCCGCTATCACCTGGTACGGTATTTCTGATTGTCAGGTGACCGTCATTGACGAAATAATGACTCGTGGTATTTACAAGATGGCCGTCATGATAGAAAAATATTTGCGGTTTTGGTTTGCCACTAGCTGAACACGCAAGTTCGACTGTCAAACCCTGTCCAAGACTGAGGTCTGTAGGAGTTATAATCATTTTAGGAGGCTCTGGAAAAGAAATCATACGCAATATTATTTTTAAAGCAAACAAGTAAAAGAACTGTTCTTAAAAATGTTCTAACAAACTTATTTATAAACGGTGTAACTAAACTATAAGGTGTTACATGTTGAGCAGAATCTGCTTTCCCTTGAGATGCACATAAAAGCACTTCCATTTTTTGTATGGTTCGTGTTGCTCAGTCTTTAATTTCTATGTTGTGTTTTGTATACTCTATTTGTGACGTCTTTTGGTCGTTTTTAGTTTTTTGCCATGCTATTGTCAGTTCGCCTTCGACTTATGAGTTTGAATATCCCTTTGGTATCTTTTGCCTTTCTTATACTTTGATTGTAAAACTATTGAAAACTCATATCTTTTTGGACTAATATCGACTTGTTTATTAAGTTAAGAATACCACTAAAGTGTCATATTTTTTTTTTCATATTTGAACCTCATATCTCAGATTAATAAAAAAAAATCCTAGGTAAATTTCCTACACAGTCATTTAAATGAAGGCCTCTAAAGGAAGATTACTGCACCTTCGTATAGCGACCGTCTCAAGCCTGGCAAAATTATTTCGAAGATGGACGTAAGAAATCGATAATCGCAAACATGTTTTTACAAACATTTGATTAAGAAAGGTAGTGAATTTTTATTTTTTACGTAATTCTAGAGCAATTGATTTAATTTAAAAAAAAAAAAACCTGACGTCATCGAATATATAAAAACATCATGAGAGGTACACAATCATTAGAAGGAGTATGGAATCTAGAATTAAAGCATGAATGTGTTTCTATCTTAATAAAAAGTTAGATTCCAATAGTTATGTTAAAACAAAAAGATACTAGAGTACAATGTGTTACTCCAGACGCGCGTTTCGCTTATATTTTAGATTCATTAGTAGCGCTCAAATCGAAGCAGTTGGAAGGCCTAATAAATACGATTTCGAGGAGCATTGCATGCCAAAAAATCTGAAAAATTGTACCAACATTGCTTAAGCATCAGAACATATGATCTACAAATAATATGCAAACAATAATAAACCCCTAAACTTTTTCAAGCCTTGCAGTGACACTTGAAACAAAGGTACCGCCTTAAACACAGGATATGTCGGTAAATATTTTATATTTAGTCAAAATTACGACGTGCTATCTTTTTAATGATAATTTATTACGTTATGTGTTAGCAAAGAAACAAATCCGAAAGTACACGTAACAGTGTATTCAACGTTTAAACCGGATCTAATAATACCATTGAAAGTATATTAGTCTATTTTCTAATTTTATAGGTTTATTCATATACGGAGATGATCCAATTTTGGAATATTTGCTTCGATTAATACATTGTATTTGCGCTATTCTTTTATCTCGCGTAAGTCATGACACTTAAATCACTTTTATCTCGCGTACATATGTAAGTCATGAAACTGAAACCACTGGCAAACATTAGTTGGTTTACATTAATGACCTTTCAATGGTATATTTATACTGTTTATACGCATATTACAGTGGTCTGGATGGGGTTTACAGATTAGAGAATAAAGGACCAAGACTAGTGAAAAATGCCCCCTTCAAAAAAAAAAAAAAAGAGAAAAAGTGGCCAAACAATAAAGTATAGAGAATATTGGGATGCTTAAATATAAAGAATATAGAAGAAGGGACAAAAATATAAAGTTACAGAAAAATGACAAAAAAGTTTTGAATACAAAAATGTAGATTCAGACCCTCGTACTAGGTACTTACTTCCAAGTTCAACGTTGACATAGTATTCTGCTGATCCGAAGGGGTTTGTAGCCACACATTTGTAGCGAGTACCAGCAGAGGAGCCGTCATTGGTAACCTTGGTAACAGTGAATGTGGGTTTGGGGTTTCCCGTAAAAAAACATGGAATCGAATTGTTGGAACCATACACATATACATGGTGTGCAGAATTATTCGTAAATTTCGGCGGTTCTACAGAAAACACATACTATTTTCAACTTATTATGCTTTCAACTTATACAGTTAGCAAATCAACTATGTAAAAAACGAACTGTTATGGTATGTTACACCAAAACACATGATACAATCAGAGACAGGGATACTACATTATATGTATTACAGTATGACTGTATGTATATAAGTGAATGTGGACTCCATGATTACACTCTACATTGCCAAAAAAAAAAAAAAAAAAGAAAAAAAAAAGATCTGGAACACTAAATATACATTGCAAAACAGAATATTTTGATTACCGCAGATCTGATCTGATCTGAAATTCATGACATTTTCACAGTTGTTTTGCTCACTGCAAGTTGAAAATATAATGTGCTAGAAATAAAAGAATATTTTAAAAGTAAATATTTTATGATAAACAATAGAATAACAAGTATATAATGTACTAATATTATATTTTTTTAATTTACAAGAAAGTATTGGCTAATCAAATATCTATGAAATACTGTGACATTTAAAGTTTACCTAGATGATATGCATCGTTTTTTTAACCGATCTTTAAACTAGTTTTCTCAACGTTGAAATTGCCAGTATTACACCACTTACCAGTTTGACTAGCTACTGTATCCCTGCACTCTATTAAATTTACTAATGCATTCCTAAAAGATAGATGTGGAGCAGGTCCTGCTTACCCTTCAGGATCACCTGAGATCACCCCCAGTTTTTGTTTGGGTTCGTGTTGCTCAGTCTTTAGTTTTTCTAGGTTAAGTTTTGTGTACTATTGTTTGTCTGTTTGTCTTTTTAGCCATGGCGTTGTCAGTTTATTTTCTACTTATGAGTTTGAATGTCCCTCTGGTATCTTTCGCCTCTCGTTTTTAGACAGGACAATACAAACAGTAAGTATCTTACCTCTTATCTTTAATTTTGAAAAATATGATAAGGGCTTGAAGCTAAGAGATACAAGAACAAGATCATTTCCGGAACCAACCCTTGTTCTACCTTACCTTGCTACATAACTCTGCGCAAACTTTCTTTTTCAATGTTGTATCTAAATATAGTCATAATATTGAACCCCAAAATGAACACTTTGCAGACAAAAATAGCTCTTCAAATTTCATCGTGCAATACATTATCCAACCTTTTGCTTGTACTGTATTGGCCCAAACATCATTTTGTCAAAAAATATCAATATATGTAGGCTTTTACTTCATCTGTTCTAAAACGTGTTACTTATTTTCAAAAACGTTTCACTAGCCTTTGCTACTGCGCTTATGGCTTATCATGAAGACTGCAATATGCACCAATACTCACTCAGACTTATGGCTGACAAACATGTATCATGAAGACTGCAATATGCATCAATACTCACTCAGACATTCACAACCATCCTGCAACATCTTGGAGTCTTTCCCTGGTGGTCCCACTGGACCAGGTTCTCCTTTAGAGCCAGGAAGACCTTTTGGTCCAGGCATCCCCCTGTCTCCTTTCATACCTATTTCACCAAGTAATCCAGGATCTCCTTTTAATCCAGGCAAACCAGTCTCACCCTTTTGTCCCTAGAATGAAATTTATAAATTTCGTGAACATACTGTAAACTGTAACTTTCGCAAGCAATTTATTTTCGCACCTTGCGTCACGAATATAAAAAAAACTTGGATCTTTCCTTATTCAACTACTTCAATTAAATTTGTTTTTTTCGCTGCAAAGTGTGCTAAAAAGGGCTAAACGCAAAAATAAAGTATCCGCGAAAATAAGTTGATTTACAGTATTTGATTGTGAAATTTTTGTTTTAGTCAAATGCTGAAATTAATAATAAACTATTTTATAACAATAGTAATAAATCAAATTTAATAGGCAGCAGCATACTTTTCTTTTAAATACAACTGTATTTATTGTTTTAAGGGATAAATTCATTATCAATAATTTGGGTTATGAAATATATTTTTGCTGATGTTCTACTGTAACAAGTATATAGGTTTAAATATCTACCATGTTTATACGTCGTGTTGACTATTTTAACATGATGTTTAAACGATGTTGTATAAAAGTTGTTCCTATCACAAACTTTTGTCGGTTCTCTTTTAGACAATAACTACCACTGTGTGATATAATACTACCAATGAACAAGAAGATATTTAAGAATAAATAAAAGTTACACATGCACAGCAATAGATTAGTCCTTTTTGTTTGATCTGCTCTTCAACGTTTGTATTACGTTTGGATTTTCAAATATTTTGGCCTCGGGTATCACTGAAGAGACATTACTTGTCGGAATGCGCATCTGGCACAGCAAAATTTGTATCAGAAATACACACAAACACAGGAAGCATTTACTTGTAATCCTTGAAAACCATTTTGACCTTTGAACCCTCTTGGTCCTGGATCTCCTTTCATTCCTTTCGGTCCCTGTGGACCTATATCTCCAACGTCACCAGGAAGACCTTTTTCTCCTTGTCCCCCATTTGAACCAATTTCTCCCTTCTGTCCTGGAAGTCCATAGGGTCCTTGATCGCCCTTTCTTCCTGTTGGTCCTGGTTGACCTTTCCCACCTGTTTCAAGTAATTATGAGAGTATAAGGGAACAAACTCGTGATACAAATTTCCGTGCGAACAACACACACGTGTCTCCGGTAAAACCTTCATCAAGTATACTTGCGACTAACAGTTTACACAAAATATACACAATTTATTTTAATAAATAGTCAGTATAAGTTTTTATAAAAAGTTCTCAATGTAGGTGAATATGATATCAAATTCAGCATTCAAATGAATTTCATAGAATCATATATTATTTCTATATAACAATTTGCTTATTTAAGTAAATACATATTCTGAACATTTGCGATCTAATAAAACGACTCGGTTTTATACTTCTTGTCTTTAGCTACATTAATCCAGTATTTTATTTTATAATCTCAATGATACGCTTTTCAATGATTTGTCAAAAAAACTATTTTGTAATTAATGATTGTTATTATATATACTTTATTACCTTACGCTTTACAGCTCATCGGTTTATACATGATATAATACTTATATTTGCAATAAAACATGTAGACAGAAAATGCTAATTATTTTTTGTAAATACTGTCCCTAATTTTAAAAGCAAGGATAATAAATTTTCCAAAAATTGGATTGTTGTAAATAAACAAATCACATTGCTTCTGAATTTTTGTCGTTTCTCAGTTTGGTTCAAGTAATGATACAACGAACAACCGTTCAATGATCAAGAATAATATAAATTATGTCATGTGACTAGATTGATAAACTTATTTTCGTCCGATATATATATATATATATATATATATATTTGTTTCAAATAAATGACCCGTACGTACTTCCGTTCATTTCCACTTTTAAATTTAACCTTTCAATTAACGTTTGTAACTTGTACGTTGTTCTTGCATGAATACTGATATAAGATACCTACCTTTATCTCCTTGTTTGCCTTTGTCCCCGTTGTCTCCTGAAAGTGAATGAATTAAAGGTGAATATCTGTAGCCAATCAAAAATATTGATCCATTACAACTAAACTATGTTTTGTGAACGATGAATTCTTGGATAGCAGTGGGGGAATGTACTTGCGAGCTCTGATTTCATAGATATTCTTTTTGTTTTTATATATCTTTTAACTACTCCTTACTAATTATTCTTTTTAAGTTTAACCGTTGTAAAGCTATTACTTTTCGTTTGGATTAAATCAATAAGGGTTTTCTTTTAGTTTACTTTACCTGGTTGACACGGTTGGTCTTTATGAACACAATGCTGAGCAAGAATCTTTTCCTGAAAAAAAAGTAGATAGTCAAATACGAAAATTTCATTCGAAAGTTTACAGCTAAATCAAATTGAGTTTGTAATTATGGCACGGAAATTAAACTTGCTTGTTTGGTATGTGAATCATGAATTCCTTTTTTTAGCTATAATTTATATGTCTTGTATAAGTTGCGATTTTGTTCATGTTAAAACATGTACATATGTACAAACCAATTGTACATGTTATAATATGTACAATGCAAAAATACAAGTTATAACATGTACAAAAGTATCTCGTATTATTACTTAAAAATGGTTTTAACTTGTACAAAATTTGAATTTCATTATGCCCTAATTTCTATTACATTAACCTCAATAATATTTTCATTTGTTTTTATTGATCATTCATGTTCGTGTGTTTTGTCCTTTTTGATACGGTTATTGACCAGATGAATAGTTTTTATAATTACTTAATACCTTTTAAAACACACGTTGCAGTCAACAAACATTATTTAGTATTCTCACCTGATGAATTATAATTGTGAATTTCCACTTTGAAGGCAATTGTACAATACTTCATACTAGTTGAGACTTAAGATGCAAGAGGATAGCCAGGATAGATTTTACAATGAAATCCTTTGGAAAATTTCTCTATAAACAAAACCCTGTTTTCAAAGTAGAGGAGGCTAGAAATTTAAAATATCAAAATATCAAAATGACATTCGACTTATGCAATGATCTTATTAATTATCAAAAAATAATGATAAGATAAGATAAGATAAGATAAGATATTTTATTGGTTTAAAATCCAAAATTATAGGATTGTTACCAAGACAATAAACATTGGCTATACATAAACATACAAACATATATCTGACCACATTTATAAACATTGTATATATATATTTGTATATCCCCTCCATCATTAAAAGAAAATATTGTTACAATTATAATAAATGTATATAATCTCTGCTGAGGAGGTGGTACCACAAAGTTATTTAGTACTCAATAAAGCATTTCTAGAATTGTACATGTCGCTTATGAATTTTACAATAATTCTAATTATACCAGTCTCACCACACGTATACAAAAATTTAAATCTTGCTTTATTAGTCATGTTTAAAAAAGAGGGAACTATTTCACTAATTTTGGAAAATAATTGTTCTCTAATTGTATTTAGTTTTGTATATTTTATAGTGAAATGAAATTCATCTTCTACTTCTAAATATTTATGATGAATAAGATTTACATTAGTTATGGTCTAGGCCAAAAATGTTGAAGAGCAGATTTAATAATTCCACAATTATTTATAATTAAGCGTGGTCAAATGAAAACCATTTTCTCTTTCTGGCCTTCATAGAGTATGCATAGGAGACCTTGCTTTAATTTTTGCATATTAAAAAAGAGGGGGAGGGGTATAATCCAAAATAATAAGGCATTGTTCTAAAAAAATTCCGATGAACCAGTTATCTACTTTGTTGTCATTGGGGGAAAGTATGCAAATATTAAACAGCGTCACACTGCTGTAGGCCATGGTGGACCGCATACAACATACAATGACATGAAACCCAACATAAGCTGTGAAGCATTAAACACATTTCTGAAACTTTGTGATCTTTGATCACTGTGCTCTAAAGAAAAAAACGTTCGGAGCTTTTGATTATTGTTCTTTATTATTCAATAAAATTTCAAATGTATTTTCTGCTTTATTTAAATATATTTTCAAATTTTGTACCAGTTAAAACCATTTTTAAGCAATATTTTGTACATGTTATAACTTGTACGAGGTACTTTTGTACATGTTATAACATGTATTTTTGCATTGTACAAGTTATGACATGTACAGTATTTGTGTACATGTTATAACATGTATGAAATCGCAACTTGTACACAACATATATATAGAAACACACTGGTCAATCTGATATTTTAGTAAACCTTTGCCGAACTATTCCATGATTTGATTATCTATATATCTATATTAAAATAATCGTTACTCGTCCATGTGGTAGTCAGCATAGGTAATATTGATTTTATAGTTCACAAAAAAAAAGCAAACTTTTTTTGTGTACATACTCATGTATGTTTGCCGTAATTGCATGGATGTCAAAATCTAATCCAACACAATAATGATTAAAAAAAAAGAATCATGACGCCTATAGCAGTAATATGGGATTCAATAATAGTCAGCATGTTTTCCGTGAAGGAACATATGAAGTAACCGTAGAAATCAATACATAATTTAATATGATTTATGAGTTCTCCCTACTATGAACGGAAAAAAGTTGTGCGTTATTTATGTTACTGAGTATGGTTTATCGTTATAATCAGTATCCCTATTATGTCACTTTTAAAAAGAAGGGATTTCCAGGTACCACCAAGGTGAGTTAATACTATTTTCCTGCAACCTTATCTTTATGTGCATAGTCAACTCCATCCTTTATAAGAAAAATGAAAACGCAAATACATATTTTAACGAATTATATATCGAAAGGGGGTTGGGGCTTGGATTCTTTATTGAGACAATAATTCGTGCATGCATCTTTGTGCCTATTTTAGCAGTAGTCAGTTTTGATTTTTTTTGTTTTGATTTTGAATTCTCTGTGTACATATATAATGTATCAAGCATTATAAAATACGTAAAATAATAGGAAAATATTGCAACTTTTTTTTTCACTCTGTGACTTGACAATTTACCCCCCAAAAACGGCCTTCTACCATCCGATTTATACAACTATTGCCTTACCTGTTGTAGTAAAAGATCAGTCAAAATACCATTTAAAAATCTCTTATCGTGAGTTTCCCTTTTATATCTTTCCTATAAAAAAATCTAAATAATAACTTAGGCAAAAGATAATTTAATTGTTGTCCAACATCTGTTAACTATAAAAATGTTTCCTCTATCAAAAAAAGTGTTTCAATCATGTGGTAACGTTAACATATTGGGAAGCATTGAAAACCAGACTAGATAATTTAAAGGGCAAAACAAATCTTATGTTACATCTTAGCAATAATTTTCAAAAGTACATACATCTGTTTAGATCAAAACAAGCAACTTTTAGTTTAAGACTTTTCTGTGTTGATCACTCCCAAAACCCGCATTACCCAAGTGATCAATCTATCATAAATGAGGCCGATGGTTTTCTGGTTTGAATTGTTTGTCATTTTGTCATGTCCAAGTCTTTTATAAATTATTATACGGTATGGTTTTTGCTCATTGATAAAGGCCATACGGTGACATATAGTTACTTATATCCACGTCATTTGACCTCTGGTGGATAGTCGTCTCATTGGCAATCATACCACATCCCATTTGTTTATATAGATAGTATTCCACCGACTATTGCAATGTATCTGACAATATCAATCTATATATATTCAATTTGTAGACGACAGTTTACCAGGAACAATCAAAACATGTATAATTATGCAAGCGAAAAACGTGGAGAGAATGTATAAAAGACATGCAGATTTGTTAAGTGCATGGCAAATATTTCCACATATTCAAAAGTAGCTGCGGTACCGTAGCTCTTAGGTCCTTGTGATATTTTTTGATTTATTTGTTCTTATTTTAAGTAGAGTACATATCTATTTTAAAATCTACCTTGTAATTCAAAATGTAAAATGTAGTGCTAGGCAATACCTGCGATAACGTCCATGATTTTATTCTGTTTTCCAAACCAATGTCAATATCCTCAATATCATCCAAAGCACAGAACTGCAGAACAGTAACTGACACAAAAGCAGAGGCTTGGATCACAGTCAATATCAGTAATGTTGGCAGCCATGGTGACTTACCTTCCTCGGCAGACATTATCATGATTATGGAGTTAAGATAAGACCAACCACTGCCTTTTGACATATTTGTCACATGTACATGTACGATAATAATTCATTTAACGGTAGTAAACTAGAACATGCATAAACATACTTCGACCTATATACAGATACGTATTTGGGCAATGCCACCAAACTTGTGTACAACTTGTACCGTATATTCATTAACCACTTTTTTTAAATGTTCAGAATCGAACTTTTTTTCAAATAAAGATTCTGAAATACATCGTCTGAATAAAGTTAAGTCCCTTCCAGTACTACATTGAAAATTTCAAACAACGTCTCTTTGCATAAGAAAATAACCTTCACTGGAAATCAACAAAGCAATGTGACTCTACTTTCTTTTTCATGTTTACAAGCGTTAGTAATTGGGTCACTTCATGTTATTAAAACAGAAACACAAAATAAAAAAGGAATGGTGCCTTAAACACCCAAGATATATGCAATGAAATTAAAGGTTGATTTCTTACAACTTTAAAATTGTGGTGATTATTTGTTTTTGAACTATGTTAACCAATATCAAGGATGCTTAATAGCAAATATTTCATATATATTTAGGATGTGGACAAAATAATAAAATTAAGAATGGAAATGGGGGAATGTGTCAAAGAGACAACAACCCGACCAAAGGGCAGAAAACAGCCGAAGGCCACCAATCATGGGTCTTCAACACAGCGAGAAAATCCCGCACTCGTAGGCGGGCTTCAGCTGGTCCCTAAACAAAATGTGTACTAGTTCAGTGAAAATGGACGTCACACTAAACTCCAAAACATATAAATGAACTAAAATTAAAAAAGCATACAAGACTAACAAAGGCCAAAATAAGCATATCAGCAGGTCGAGACCAATAAACCAAACCGTTTGGGATGTTTTGTTCCAAATTGGAAATATACTTTGAGATGAGGAACAGCAATAAAAGTGATATTCCTTTGCTTTTTGTGTGTTTTTTTGCTGTGCATGTACTGATTTTGTGCCATGGATGGATACTTCATATCCTTTGTTTTTCTATTACATTGCAGAAAAAAAAACAAAAAAAAAACATGTTAGATCTTAGTGAAATTATTCAAAAGTGCATTTCCTTAGGTCAATAAATCAACTTTTAGTTGATGATTTTTCCAGACACTAAATTGGTTACTGGGTTTATCACTGTTTGAATCCTCATTTTCCAAGAGAGGGTTCCAGGTGAAATCTTATGAACACTCACATGAATTGACCAACAGAATAGAAATAAAGAGATGTGGTATGATTGCCAACTATCCACCAAAGTTCAAATGAAATGGATGTAAGCAATTATAGGCAACCGTACGGCCTTCACCAATGTGAAAAAACCCATACCGTATAGTCGGCTTAAAAAGGCCCCGACACGAAAAATAAGAAACTATTTACTTGAATAAAATAGCGGTCGAATTTAATACAAAATAATTTACGAAAAACGAATATGACAGACATGAACAAACGACAACCACTGAACTACAGGCTCCTGACTTGGGACAGGCACATAAAGATTGCACATGTACGATAAGTGCCGTTTGAAATATTACTTTGTTTGAAATATCTTTTTTTGGCGATTGGTTCCAATCTGATCGATAAACATGTATAATAAATTATTAATATATCGGGAAAAAAAACAAGTCAAATACCAATAGACTGTTAGCTTAACTTTATTTTCAGTTTATAATTTATGCATTTTACTAAAGCCTTTGATGCAGAACACAAGTAGACAACATTTTGTGTCCTTCTTTGATTTTATGATCTCAAACGTTTTTTAGAATGTCCACTCTACATAAATTTTAGAAATCAGCTCTTTGAAAATATCCAACACTTAGTTGCTTTGAAATGCCTGTACCAAGTCAGGAATATGACAGTTGTTTTCCTTTCGTGTGATGTGTTTGAGCTTTTGATTTTGCCATTTTATAAAAGACTTTCCGTTTTGAATTTCCCTTGCAGTTCGGTATTTTTGTTATTTTACTTTTTGCCATGAAACATATTTTATTTGGAACAGACGAAATAAGTGTTAAACAAAACACAATCCTTTTCAGAAATATACATAGTTATATACGCCATACAAAACGATTCTTTGATTAATATTGCTGTATCTTAACATGCTTAAAATGTACTCGTATCCAACTGTTACTGTTTAAACATAATATATTTATTCTATATATTTTTCATATTGTACTTAATTATATAATTGCTGTTATCTTGAAATTTTGTATATGGTATTTATTTGGAGAGGATTATGTTAAGTTGTTATAACTTGCATCCAATCCTATTGTTTCTTTAGACAATAAAATATGTTGAAACTGAACTTAACGTTTTATGCATTTTGCTCCACGAACGATCGGCTCGAGTTTGCACGATGTATGCTATATTTAGAATTACTAAACAAGTATTTGTAATGCAATCAGATTAAAGTACTATAATAAGAAAGTCAATGGTACTCATGAAAATGTAAAGAACTAATTACCTTCTTCATTATAAGCATAGTACATCAGTATAACTTTCACTAATCAGAAGAAATGAATGTCACACAAAAACATGTATATATGAACATGTCAAGGTTATGAACTCAGAAAAAGTGATATCGGTTGGATACATCCAAAGAGAGCTTTAGTTTTCACCACGACTGCAAGTTATTTTATTATCTGCATGAGTTGATTTCACGGATAAGTGGCATTTTAAGTCGTAAGCATCATGGGAAATATTAGTGATCTGAGAAAGAGAGGTTGTTTCGTAACTAACCTTACAGGATTTTTGTTGGTGATACTGGTAATCTGTCTGCTAGCGGTAGTGGCCGTCATTGTTTATTTTACAACGTTGGATATTAAATGTTCTTCGTCGAATGGTGAGTAAATAAAAACATTAAATGAGAATGAAGAGAGAAGCTATACATACAATAACGATTTATTGATTGATAGATTGTTATTTAACGCCACTTTCAGCACTGTTGACTACTTTGTGGCAGTCAGTTTTTATTGTTGGAGGAAGCCGGATTGTCCAGAGAGAACGACCGACCTTTGGCAGGAAAACTGACACGATCCCTAACTAGTCAATTAAGAAGGGTGTCGAGCGCAACTGTCACATGCGCGGTTCGAACTCACAACCTCAGTGTTGACGGGCTAGTGATACAGTAGTTTGACTACTCAGACCACTCGCCACCAAGGCCTCCAATATACTAATGACAAGTATCAACAGCCAAGACAGAAAATCAAATAGGCTATCGTTCAAGACCTTAATATGTATGTAAACATCTAGGATGTGTTGGGTTGCTGACTCAATGGCGTATTGTAAACATCTGAATTTCAAAGTCATTATTTAAATGATTAGTGTATACATAGAGAACAATGTATATGTGTAGCTGCGGAGCTTGTCTTTCTTCTTGTTCTTTTCTCTTTACACACAAGCAGTAGAAATGGCCACTGAGCAAGACTTCTTACAACAATAAAAAAAAACATGTAGTTTTGTAGCAACATGCCTCCAAGATCAAATTATAACCCTGAATAACATCTTAATTTTAATCAAATATTTATGAAAAATACATTAGAGTATATGTAGATGTACCTTAAAAATTCAAATCTAGTTTTATTTTTTATAGTTTGAACTTGTATTTTGATCAGTTGAAATGGTACATTAATTGATAATTTCCAAGCGAAACTGAAACAATACCGATTTATATGTGCAAGTACATGTAACATAGTTAATGATGACTCTGATGCTGTTTTTTTATATTCTGTAAACTACAAACACACTATTATGCAATGTAAGTGATCTATAATTGACATACCGATGTCAAAAGCTTGTTATGTTATTTTGATACATTGTACACATGCTTCTATAAACGTCTAACGGAGTACAGTGACTGAGGCTAGAACAGTTTTACCATCACAATGAATGAATTGTTATGTAATTGTTACACGTCTAAGGAAGTACTGTTTTACAACTAAAATGAATGATGAATTCTTTATTGCAAAGCAGTAGTTACATACTATAGGAGTTCAAACATATTTACATTCGGACACCTTATATACAACAGAGAACAATATTCTAAGATAGTACAAATTTTAAGACAAACAATCAGATGAGATCTAATCTGCCAAGAAGATTTAAAAGAAATACATAATTTTCCAACGAATGATCTAGACTTTTGTTTGATACAAATACCTTAATTTTGTCGTTTTTGGCCACGAACAGTAATACTTTTTGTAAAAACTGCAACCTTACAAATCTATAAAAAGGACACTCTTAAAAAGTTATACGGGGCTCTGAATGGGGGTCCTTCAATTCTGTGTTCCTTATTTTTTATGACGTCTTTCTCTATTATTTATAAATTTTGACCATTATTCTTTATTTTTTAGTCCCATTATTCTCTATTCTGTTACATAAATCCCACCCAGACCCTCTTATAACAGTTTATGTTAATAGTGCTTGTTAATTGTTTTTATCTATATACAATGCTGGTCTTAGCTGTTTGAAATACGTTAGAGTGGTATATGTTTTTGTTTTATCGCCTGATTTTTTTACATAATAAATCGGCAAAAGAAAAAATGTGATATACAATTGATTATATCAGTACCTTCCATAATTTTAAGAAAAATATTTATCTCAACATTAGTTCGCTTCTGATTTTTTTTATTTCTAAGGAAAGAGTAGAATAGACTACCAAAACCCCCTTTTTATTAGCATCTAAAGAATGACGCAACAACTAAAGATGAATGGTTCAATAAAACTGACAAACACGTAAAATGTCATTGCTGGATAATCAAAATTTATCGCACCAGTCTTTATAAGTTTTATACATTACATATAAAGACAAGTTGCTTTTAAAAAAAAGACAATACGTGAACCTTAGAGATTTTGTTATTCTAATTATTAAGTCAATTGAATAAGAAATTATATATCAGTGTTATCTTGGCCATGTGTGTGGAGGATAATATTTTCTTTTTAATGTAAATCATTACAATTTTGGCATGTTGAGAGAAGTGTTAAATATAAAGCAAGGAGAGAGAAAAAAAAGATTCCCAGACGTATAATTTCTTAAAGAATAATAATAATTCAAAACATGGAGGACACATGTTCCTTCTTCCAAAAATTCATAAAATTAATCTAGAAATAAGTAATGAGGCATTGCGAACTGGTCAGCTAGTAGGACACATTAATGTTCGTTACCGACCAATCATCAATAAGTGTAACTCTCCCGCGAGAGATACTTACTTGATCTAATTATAAATATAAAAAGGAAGATGTGATATGATTGCCAATGAGACAACTCTCCACAAGAGACCAAATGACACAGAAATTATCAACTATAGGTCTACGTACGGCCTTCAACAATGAGCAAAGCCCATACCGCATAGTCAGCTATAAAAGGCCCCGAAATGACAAATGTAAAACAATTCAAACGAGAAAACTAACGGCCTAATTTATGTACAAAAAATGAACGAAAACCAAATATGTAACACATCAACAAACGACAACCACTGAATTACAGGCTCCTGACTTGGGACAGGCACATACATACAGAATGTGGCGGGGTTAAACATGTTAGCGGGATCCCAACCCTCCCCTAACCTGGGACAGTGGTGTAAAAGTACAACATAAGAACTAACTATAAAAATCAGTTGAAAAAGGCTTAACTCATCAGATGGATACAAACAGAAATACTACACAGAGTGGACGTGGCTGGGTACTTGTATATCCCAACAACAAATAGACACTAAGTACAGATCTGAGAGTACTCGCAGTAACTGACAGCTAGTTCAAAGCCATTAACAACTAATTAAAAAAATCATGCATCTAATACTAAATTATCAATCCGTACACATCCAACATCAAATTATTGAAGAGGCATAACTTTTACATTCAAGATACATAAAATTTCATTACTAAAATAGAGTCACACGAGGTAAAAAAGTATGCATTCTTATTACCTAGGATGTACGTCAATGTAAACTAATATAATCATTGATAATTTAGAAGAAACTGTTATCAATGCATTAGAATGTATTGACACACAGGAGAATATACTTTAAAGATTCTCAACAAAATAGATTTAACTGCATTTGTTAAATTAATTCTTAGAAACAATGAATTTGAGTTTAATGGACTGTTATACAAACACATTATAGGAGCGCCCATGGGTGGTATATTGTCACCAACATGCACAGATCTGCATCTGTCTGCCCTATTCATTAAAATCTTAGATAAGTTCCAATGGAGAGAAAACATCAATCTACACTGTCAATAGGGATGACGGTTTTAAGGTCTTCACAGGCAAATTAGAGCAACTTGAAGATTTCTTTAACCTTGCAAACGAAATTGATCATCTACTTAAGTTCTAATATGAGGTGTCGACATCTAGTATGGCCTACTTAGAGGGTGGTAAAAGGTTATTTTCGTGCAACGTTTTCGGCCTTTTTATTTCACGTGTTTCCGTGTTTCAACGTTTTATTTCTCGTTTTCTCGTGTTTGGATCGATATGCGTGCTTCGTGTTTTCCCTTAATTATTTTCCGTGTTTCGTGTCGGTACTCTTATTTTCTCGTGCTTGTCCCGCATTTGATTAAAAAGTAAACCGGGACTAATTCAAAGTCAGCCCAAATATTGTTTTAAATCATAAACTTATTAACTGGTCCCAAGATATTTATTAATAGCCTATTGTATTATTATCATAAATCAGATGCAACTAACGGACGCTAAAAGGTGACCACATGCAGGGTCGCCATGTCCATTTATAATGACTGCATGATCTCCCAGAACGGCTGAGTAATAACTTTTTGTACTTTTTCCCTTGATATTTACGATTTTATTACTTGGCTTTATTTTTGCAGAGTGTTTTTTTTTCCGTGCAACGTTTTTGCGATTTTTATTTCACGTGTGTCCGTGTTCAGACCCTCCCTTTTACCACCCTCTATTTAGATACCGAAGTGTACAAAAGTGAACGATTCCATAATAATAAAATTCTTGATGTTAAGTCTCATATATTAAAAACACAGAAACGTATCAATATTTACCAATCACTAGTGCATATCCAAAACACACATAAATTTAAGAGCGTTACAGTGTGTAAATAAGAAAGGAAATTTCTATTTCTACCACTAAGTGACCACCGTCATTTGGTTGACTATCCTGTCATTGTTTGGTGTGCGCTTCCATACTTAACTAGTCCAAAAATAATTTTAACAGAAAGGAAATAATTAGTGCTGTACATAACATTTATACATGGTGCAAATAAAAATATGGGACTTGAAATTTAATGTGCATGCAGTAGTGTCTTGAACGAGTCAAGACTTTCTGCAGCGGCCACTGAAATAATAGTGACATCAATGAATTAGATTTTAATTAACTTACAAGATAACTTAATTGATAGACAATTCTGTAAAAAGGAAACAGTAAAAGTTGTAAAAATGTATATTAACGAACAGTCTTTATTTTACTTGTTTTATTTTCATTTGAAACAGATTTTTTTTTATCTGATTTGTCAAAATGACAAGTGTGCATAATGATTTTATTGTTACAAATCGAATCCCAAAGCCCACTATAACTCATTATGTAGAAACCACAGCACTATTTAAAAATATCTCTCTGTGAATATCTAGACTCAGATGTTTGATACCATAGGTCGTTATAATTAAATCTTGACCATTTAACTTTCACTTGTTTATCAAAGGGTACAACTGTCAACTTTGCTCAAGTCAGTAAACCCTTGCAATGCATAAAATGTAGCTTTACAATAAATATACATGTTTGAAAAGGATCTGTAGATTATTTATTATCATATATCAGATAAGTGAATTAGCGATCTGTGAAAATTCTTTATTGCCATGTTTTAAATATCTAAGATACACCGTATGGAGGTGCTCTTAATTGCAGGAAGCTAATACAGATAAGATGAATAGGTGTTCCGAATGAACAATAATTTAGCTTCCGAATATTCCTCCATAGACTATATTTCTAACTAATATATATGCCTGAACCCTCAGGGGTTCACGCAATAAGGAGATGTGGTATGATTGCCAATAAGACAACTATCCACCAAAGTTCAAATAAAGTGGATTTAAGCAATTAAAGGCAACCGTACGGCCTTCAACAATGAGAAAAACCCATACCGTATGGCCGGCTATATTTAATATGGTTGTAAAAGCGTTGATCGTGCGCACATGTTTCATATGAAGCGCTTGTTCCATGCAGAAGGTGCTTTGATCAACGCTTTTACACCCCATTAAGATTAGAAAAAGAAGCATTTAATTCTTAAATGAAGGAAAATAAATCAGTCTGATACATACATGCAATCATGAGATGTTGTTATACAATAACTTCTCTGAATGTACTGCAGACGGACGTACGTTTTAAGAACGACATTAGAACGTGAGAAACGTACTCAAAACAAGTTGAGCGTACTGACTCAGAACATACTGCGAACTTTTATAACTGTGTAGAAACGTGTTGCTAACTTTTTTTCAGAACTTATTATTCTGTTTTGATCGTATTTAGACGGAATAAAGACGCACTAAGGACGTAAGGAGGTCGAGTTCGGTCTGTGTGTCGACGGGGTGAACATGCAACAAATGGACTCGGTCTTTTAACACATACATCTAATTGACGCCCGATCATACCACGTCATATCACGTCCCTGGTACGTTCCAAGAACGGCAATGCGGTTTGTAGTACGTCCATCTCGTGTTACGTATATTACCACTCAGTCAAATTGCAGGACGGGATGGTCGCCCGAAAATTTGGAGCAGGCTCAAAGCTCTCATCAGAGCTCATGTTTTCTATGTTATTGTGTGCATATATTATGACTTTAAATACCATTTACCTACTTACCTACTTACTCTGGAGCACCATTCCCGACCAAACCCATCCATTAAGTTCGTAAACAGACCTTAAAAATTGCCATCGTCAACTCCATTTGCACACAGTTTTATTCCGGTCGGCTACCATTTTCCGAACGTAGTGTAAACGAGTTCGTTTGTATGGGTTTTAGATTGAAAATGAATTTGACAGGAGAAGAAATTGAACAAGAACAGATCAAAGGTCGGCATTAGGGCGGGAAACAAATTTTTAATTCAAATCAAACAATTGAACAATAGAACATTATGATCAGAGTATTTAATCTTCATAGAAATTGTTTACAGATAACTTTTAAATTAGATACATATGTGACATACATATCCAAACCCACAATGCATTCGTTATGCGTAATTTAAAAAAAAGAAGAAAAGACCAAATAAACAAAGACAACAAATCTGACACTAACAACCCTAAATAAATTCATGCAATGTTTGTTAAAATAACTTTTTTTAACAGAATCAAATGGGAAAGTGGCAAATAAGACACTACATAAAGCGCCGTCTGTTGACAGGAATTTTCGACTACCACTCAACTTGTACCCGACTGTTTATGAAGTTGAGATTCAGCCATATATCTATGGAGACAACTCAGAAGACTTTTTCTTCTCTGGTCACGTGGGAATAGAAGTAGAATGCAGGTCTTCAACAAATGAAATTATTCTACACAGTAAGATGTTACATATCACAGAAAATACTATCGAAATTCGGCTGAGCGGACGACATAACGACACAATAAATTCTACTTTAGAATATGATACAGACAATGGGTTCATAATACTGAAATTGAGTAGATTGATGGTTGCAGGAAACAGATACATTGTAGAAATGGGATTTGATGGACATTTCTCTGAAGATTTAGATGGATTGTATCTTAGTTCGTATGTTCGTGACAACTCTACGGTGTAAGTATAAATAGTTTTTCCATAGCGTAATTTCAGTTAAAGTTTTTGGCATTGGCCGCCATATTGCAATTTAAAATTGAACAGGATGATGGTAGCAGTAAAAACATATATTATAGAAATTGTGTTTTGTTTTACATTTAATTAAAAATTCAGTCGGATTGCCTCTTAGTTTATATGTTTATAAGAACTGTCTTCTGTGTAAGTATAAATAGTTTTCATTTGGCGTAGTTTGAGTTAAAGTTATTCGCCTTGGCCGCCATGTTGCAATTAAAAATGGAACAGAAGGAGGGTAGCAGTAAACACATATATTACAGGAATGGTGTTTTGTTTTGTTTTTATTTAATTGAATATCCAAATGAATTGTATCTCGATTCATATGTACGTGATAAGACTACAGTATTAGGAATTGCTCATAAACAAGATTCCTTTCAATGAGGAAACTGCAATGTCCATTACTGTTAGTTACAATCTGTCACCCAGTGTTCTTTGTAATACATTACTTAATAAGACTTGACTCGGAACCTTTCTTTTTTTTCCGGTATAACCTTTAAATTACAGACAAAAATGAACTGCTGTCCCACTACGTGTTGTTCTGAGAACCCCTCTTCATCCCTCTTCCAACTTGAGTTTATATCTATTGACTTGTTGCATACATGTACGCTATTGAACATAGGGTTCAAAGTGGTAAAGTTGAAGTAATCTTTTGGGAAGTATTATGGACGCTATTAAAAATGATTTGGCCGTTATTGAATATTTGATTTTACAGATGACCATGGATATGTTCCATTTGTCATAACTACAATCTGGTGCCATGTGTGGAGCAAGATCTGTTTACACTTCCGGAGCACTCCAAATCACCCCTGGTTTTAGTTGGGTTAATATTGCTCAGTCTTTAGTTTTCTTTGTAGTGACTTCTAGTGTTTCACAGGCTGTCTTTTCGTCGTTTTTCGGTTTCTGCCATGGTGCTGTCGGTTTCTCTTTGACTTATGAATTTGGATTGTCAATTTTGTAGCTTCCGCCATGGACGAACAAAATTCACAGCGAAATCCAGTAAAGTCTTTAAATTTCCAAAACATAAAATGCATTTGGATATCTTTTATCTACTCATGCCATACCTTAAAACTTTTCCATATGAATAGGGTTGTGTGTACTCTGAGTAAAATTTTGAGGTGTTAACACAACTATTTTACCCAAAGGATCCAGATGAACCTTGAGTTTGAAAAAAAAGGAGATGCTGTATGATTCTAATGGGAGAACGTTCCATATAGATCAAAGAAAAGGAGATGCTGTATGATTCCAATGGGAGAACGTTCCATATAGATCAAAGAAGAGGAGATGCTGTATGATTCCAATGGGAGAACGTTCCATATAGACCAAAGAAAAGGAGATTCTGTATGATTCAAATGGGAGAAGGTTCCATAAAGATCAAAGAAGAGGAGATGCTGTATGATTACCAATGGGAGAACGTTCCATATAGATCAAAGAAAAGGAGATGCTGTATGATTCCAACGGGAGAACTATCCATATAGATCAAAGAAAAAATATGAAAACAATTACAGGTGACCATACTGCATTCAATGAGGAATACCCTTACCGTATAGGAAGTTATAAAAAGTCTCGAAGTGACAAGATGTGAAACAATTCAAAAGAGAAGATCAATGATTAATACATGTATTACAACAATGAAAGAAAAAGAAATATAATAGTAGACATAGTAACTAATGACAACCACTGGGTTACGGGTTCATGATTTGAGACAAAGGGGGTTGGGAGATAGGATTGGCGGTTAAATGTTTACTCGCAGTTTCTGATTATTTTGTTAATATTTTATAATGTTACCTACTTCAGATATCTTGCTACTACGCAGTTTGAAGCCATTCATGCCAGGAAAGCATTTCCATGTTTTGACGAGCCTGCAATTAAGGCAAAGTTTATAATAACACTCGTCAGGAAAAACCATATGATTTCCTTGTCAAATACCCGTATTGTGTATCGAGAAAATAGGTGAGTACATGTTACAATCAATTGAATAAAAGTACAATGTTATACAAACACAATAATGTAGTTCACAAAGAAGAGGATCTGCTTCCCTTTCCACATAGAACATCTAATATAACTCCTGGTTTCCTGTTTGGTTTTGACTTGATCTATTGTCAGTTTTCTGTATAGTGTTGTTTACATTTAAGTCGTTTTTCATGGAATTGTCTGTTTTTCGAAGATGCTTAAACTATTTGCCACTGTAAGTTACGCAAACAACATTCGGATCATTAGATAACAAATAAAATGAATGAAGTTAAATATGAAAATATTAGACAGTTCATAAGCCCACACCAATCACCAACACCCGACTTCTCCGAGAAAATATCTGAACGAAACATGGTACCTGCTGGCAAGAAAGTTGGTCGGATAAGACGTGTTGCGTGTGGTTTTAATCATTTTAGAGATTGACTGTAGTCAATACGGTTAAGATCAGAAGGCAACTTTCTTTTTCTTTTCAAACAATAGAAACTGACATTGAGAATACTCGTTGCAGTTCCCCTTTAACAAAATATTTAAATAAAAACACAAGTTTGGACATCAGTCCTCCTTTTATTCTTTGTTTTAAACTGCACATTTTTACCAGTTACGTGCTTAATATTTATTTTGCATTACTCACTCATCCCCCTCTTCATACATGTACATTTATCAAGAAATTGAAAGTCACAATCATCAGGTCAGGTTAATTGATATGTTTGCTTTTATTTTTAGAGTTAAACAGAACAAAAAAGGAGAGACATAATTTTTAAATAATGTTATGTTTGTATTAATTATATCATCTTATGCAATTTTTTATTGTTCGTGGGCCTCGGCGGCTGAGTCTAAAAAGTCGAACTACTGTATCACTAGCCTGTCAACACTTAAGTTTTGAGTTCGAATCCCGAACGTGGCATGTGCGCTCGACTCCAATCTTGATTGACTAGGATTGTCAGTTTTCGTAACGAAGAACGGTGGTTCTCTCCGGGCACTCTGACTTCATCAACCTACTAATAAAAACTGACTGCCACGAAATAGCACAATAGTGCTGAAAGTGGCGTTTAACACAAATCAATCAATCAATCAACCAATTGATGTTTGTCCAGTCACTAGCCATTAGTTTTCTCTGATAGCTTACAATGTTAACTTACCCTAAATTCTGATTTTCCAGAACGGATAATTGGGTTGCTGACCATTATGAAGAAACCCCTTTGATGTCTACTTATATCTTAGCTTTTATTGTTTGTGACTTTCAATACACCAGCGACGTCACCAAGAACAATGTATTAGTAAGTCAGTAGTAATAATAATGCGAATTATCAATTGAAAGTCGCACAGTATTAAATTAAAACTCGAAGTTAGGCCAGTTCAAACGCATCTGACGTCATAGAGCTACGGAAACAGGTGGATATAGCCAATGGAAATACATACACTTTCCCATATTAAAGCTAAAAGCTAAGTGTTAAATATATTAACCCTTATATATATTGCAAACACATTGAGATTCATGTTATGACCAAACTGTTTAAGGATTTTGAACGTAAATTACACATCCGTCGAGTATTATTCCAATGTAACTACATATATACTCTATATGCAACTTAAAATGATTGTCACATTCCTGAATTAACTCTGTTAAGGATGTTTGCTCCTCTTGTTTTGTTTTTGGGTCAAATATTCGGAATCCTATAGTTTTATCCATGTAACTTACAAATAAACAGTTTGGCCGCTAACCCAAAATTTTCTTATTGATATAATTATTATGTTATTGAAAATCCTTATTATTGTTTTATATAGTTTTTGTAAGAAAAAAGGTGCCAATATTAAATGTATGAAAAGTCTAGAATTAGAATTAATTCCCGCCAAATTTTTAATTTATTATATCCTTTTAACAAAGACACATTTTGTTTCTTATACTTTTTAAGTTCCATTATTTATATACTATCAATTTATAACAGTCTTTTACAAAGCTTATTATTTTGAACCAGAGGAGCGAACATCCTTTTGACCAAATGAAATGGACGATCACTTTAACTGTGCCAAACTATTTTACAAGCGAATATAATGCGAATGCTGATGACATTTGTCATAAAATAAACAAAACTAGTGAATAAATGAACTAATGATTGCAAAGTCATTGCATGACACGTGTTTCAACAATAATTATAATCACGTCAAAAGGCTCAATACATTTTATGCTAATGGAATTGCCATGTGTAAAATAAAACAAAATATTTCTCTCCCTTAATATTTACATTTCATTTCATCTTTTAGTTTAGGTCATGGGCAAGGAACGAAGTAGTGGATCAAACGCCTTATTCTTTGAAAGTTGGAATCAAGATCTTAGCATATTTTGAGGACTATTTAAATATCAGCTTTCCTCTGGCCAAGTCAGGTTAAGTACATATTATTAATGGTCTCATGTAGAAGTAAGCTCTGACATGTCTGCGGACAAGAGAAACTAACACACGAAAAACCTTAAAAAATTTATCACTAATTTCAAATTCTTTGAAATATTGAATATTAATTAAAAAAGAGGCCGAAGAAACGAGAAGGACATTCAATACTCACAAATCAAGGAGAAACTGAAAGCGCCATTGCAAATACACGAGAAACGTCTAAAAGACAAGAAGTCCGCAAAAAAAAATACATGGGAAATTAAAAACTGAGCAACACGAACTCCACCAACAATTTGATTGCTCCAGCTGCTCCGGATAAGAAGAAAGTGAGAAGATCATGCACCTCGAGTGGCACTCGTCATGTTGTTTATAGTTAATACAAATTCAGTGATAAGTGTCTTTCGGTGATATCACATGGAGATGGCAAATATTGACCAATAGAAAATAAGCATCGTATTGATATCTGTAATCACGTGATAACGGTCTGTTAATGAGTAAAGTATTATTGCATACCGTTTCCTGTCCATTTATCCGTCAGTCTGAAAAAAAACTCTCGATGACACTAGCATGCATTCAAGAAACGTTACTAAATTTGTTCTGGACTTATTTTTTATAAGTCTGATGATAGTGTCAGTCGATCTTTAGTTATGACATCCCAAATCGTTAAAAACTAGTACATTTTTCAAAGGTTTGGTGATATACGTATATATAAAATGTATGTCCAGTTGCTTCATAGATTCAAATTAAACTGTTCGAGAATGTTACAACTAATTACAGTACACTCCTAATTGGTATTGAAGATTTTTATATTAAAAGAATAGTGAAGAAAGTAGGTTTGACTAATCCATGTGAACCTTTTACACTCTGTTCTGTTGATTCAACCAAATATGTGAGGGTCTGTAGTGGAGTTTTCAGAATGAAAAGGCATTTGCCATAAAAAAAAAAATAACCAAGAGAGAAAAATGAAAAAAATCAAGAAAAATGGAGTGCTTATATATATATTTATATATACTTCGACTCAAGTTTAGCCCAACAATGTTAAATCTGCAAATTTGCGTTATAAAACTTTTGTTCTTCCTTCAGCGGGATTCGATCCCCTTCATCTGAGACATCATGTTAACACCGCCTGCACTGTGTCCAGCGCCCTAGACCTCTCGAACAACTAAGATATATAAAAACATAGCTTTCGTTAGTCGAGTAATGCTTTTCTTCGTCGGCTTTATCTAGGATTGTAACACAGTACACGATGTATAGTTGAAAGTAAATAGTATTTCTGACAGATCAGCTGTTTTTTGTCTGTCGTAAAGGATGATCATTTTACTTACTATGCCGTCACATCAAATTTTAATTTTATCACATATATAATAGGGTAAGCAGTTACAGCAGAACTGGTGGCATCCGTTGGGTTGCTCATGCCACACAGAGGGACCCTTTTAAAGGGAGGTAACCAAAGATAATATTCATTCATGGTAAAACTCTACCTTGTTTATGTTCTCTGTAAAAACTGAAATAGATTTGTCAGAATTTTTTAAAGTATAACATGCGTATGATTACTTCAGATATGATAGCTGTTCCAGATTTTCAAGCAGGTGCAATGGAAAATTGGGGTCTCATCACATATCGGGAAACTAATATGCTTTTCCATCCTCTTGAATCATCTGAATTCAGAAAAGAAGTGGTTGCAAATATAGTCTCTCATGAACTGGCACATATGGTAAGAAAATAAACATATGGTTCAAGTTCTTACGAAATTTATTGGTCTGAATAGGGCCGAAAGAAGGGGGTGGGGTGTATTCGTAATTTCTTTAATTTAGGCCATTATTTTGTATCATTTAGCACCTGATTTTTGTTATTCTTTACCTTTTTGCTCATTTTCTCGCACACACTTCTCTATTATCTAAACCACATTCAGAATCTCATATATGAACTTGAAATATATTCTAGACTACTCGAAATGAGTTGAAGGAGATTTTGGGTCATTTGTCATTAGATGTTAATGCAATGTATCAAGTTTTTAATTGATCGAAGTCGAGACTTACTAGATAAAGGAATTAAATAAAGGCAACAGTAGTATTATTCATAAATCGATTGAGAAAAAAAAAAACAAATCCGGGTTACAAACTAAAACTGAGGGAAACACATCAAATATAAGAGGAGAACAACGACACAACAGAAACACAACACTAAAATGCAACAAACACAGAAACGAACTATAATATAACAATGGCCATTTTACTGACTTGGTACTGGACATTTTAAGGAAAAATGGTGGGTTGAACCTGTTTTTTTTTGGCTAGCCAAAACTCCCGCTTTTATGGCAATGTTAAAGATAACATTAAAATGACAGGATTTCATGACTAGACTACAATACAAATAAATAGGAGAACATACAGGACAGAGACACACGCAAATAATCTTAATAAATTTAACATTACTATCAAATTCTATATACGACAAAATACAAACAGACGTAACCCAAAACTAACTGACAACGCCATGGCAAAATAAAAGAAAAGAAAAAAGACCAGAAGACAAACACCAGCACACAAAACACAACATAGAAAACTAAAGACTGAGCAACACGAACCCCACTAACATATAATTATATACATTGTATCTAAGTCGATTATGTCGATAAACACTACAATATAAAGTACGCAGATAAAATTGATCACCAATTTTTATTCTTCATTTTTATAAGAATAAAACAATGAAAGAATTTTATTTCATTTTTGTGTCACATATTGATTGTACATTATAATTCCAAACAATCAATACCCAGCTTATGAGACACATATTTATAAAATATTTCACATTTATATGAACTTAACAGTTACTAAATTTGTTTTAAGAACAATTAAAAAAGAATAATCATTTACATAAATACATATTCAATTACTAAATTGAATAAATAAATTATGTAGATAACATTGATGATAATAATATTTTTCAGTGGTTTGGTAATTTAGTAACCCCAGAATGGTGGGGAGACATCTGGTTGAATGAAGGATTTGCTAGTTATTTTGAGCACCTCGGTGTAGATCATGTCCACCCCGACTGGAACATGGTACGTACAATACTACCTGTATTCAACAAATCTCATTTGGGATACCAGTTTTTTAATTTGTAGCCTTTTTGAGTACCTTGTTATTAATTAGATCCAACCAGAGACTAGAACATAGTACGTACAATACTGCCTGTATTTAACAAATCTCATCAGGGATACCAGGTTTATAATTTGTAGCTTTTGAAAGTACCTTGGTGTTGATGATGTCCACCCCGACTGGAACATAGTACCTACAATACTACCTGTATTTAACAAAATTCATCCAGGATACCAGGTTTATAATTTGTAGCTTTTTTGAGTGCCTTGGTGTTGATCATGTCCATCTTGACTGGAACATAGTTGGAACAATACTACCTGTATTAAACAAATCTCATCAGGGATACCAGGTTTATAATTTGTAGCTTTTTTGAGTGCCTTGGTGTTGATAATGTCCATCCTGACTGGAACATAGTACGTACAATATTACCTGTATTAAACAAATCTCATCAGGAATACCAGGTTTATAATTTGCAGCTTTTTTGAGTACCTTGGTGTTGATGATGTCCAACCCGAATGGAACATAGTACGTACAATACTACCTGTATTAAACAAATCTCATCATGGATACCAGGTTTATAATTTGTAGCTTTTTTGAGTACCTTGGTGTTGCTGATGTACACCCGACTGGAACATAGTACGTACAATACTACTTTGATTTAAACAAATTTCATCAGGGATACCAGGTTTATAATTTGTAGCTTTTTTGAGTGCCTTGATGTTGATCATGTCCACCCTGACTTGATTATAGTACGAACATATACAATATATATGCATTGTCGGAAAGAATAAAATTTATTTGTTCGAGCTTTAAAAATGGGACGAAAAGCGAGGCTCATAGCTCGTTTCCGACAAAGTACATATGTTTTTTTTTAATCCTGTAATGACACACGGCACTTTAAGGTTAAGTTATTTTAATTCAAACAGTTGTTCCTGATTTTTCAAAGAAATTGATATCGTTTAGACGCGGGCCGTGAAGAGGACCCCAAAATGAGCTGTCAGGCAAAAAGAAGTATTCACATTACCGTTTGTTCAACATGGAACCTGAGTAACAGTATACTTTATATGTTCTATTTGTTCTTACAAATAAAGGAAAAAAAAACACTATTTGTGTACCTGTTAATTTTACAATAGTTGGCTTATTGCTGAATAAATGACTACCTGTATGAAAAAAATCTCATCAATGATACCAGGTTTATAATTTGGTACGCCAAACGCGCGTTTCATCTACATGAGACTCATCAGTGGTGCTCGAATCAAAACAGTTGGGATCATAATCAGTGAAATATGATCAGGAAATATGAAAGTATTATTTATAGTTCAAATATAAAATTCATTCAAAAAACAAAGTGCCCTTAGAATAATAAATGAAACAATTAAATTGTATCCGAAGTTAATAAGGCATCGATTATTTATCTTTTGGGAGCGCATGATGTTTAAGATTTACTTGTTTGATTTCAAATTTCTTGTACTGATTTTTTTTTTCAAGGGAGAAAAAAAAACGTTTTATTCCATTGCAAGTTATAAAAAAAAAATACAGCTTTGAATTTTAAGAACATTGTTGTTCCAGCATGTCATTGAAAACATAATCTTTTTTTTGGTATTGTCGAAATCATATTTATCCTTAGAAAAACACCCTTGGCAACGTTTTATTAGGTCTAGACGGGGAGTATATCATTGCATGATTTTTTTTTCTCTTTTCCTAATATTTTAGCACCCCCTTATTCCATGTTCCTAATTTTTATACCCATTTTCCTCTATTCCATTTGATTTTGGCTCATTAAGTTTATTACATCAACCCCATCCAGATCCTCTATAGTATTTTTTTTTTAATTTATTTTGCAGCTCGAGGAATTCACTTCTCCTGAAATGCATCGAGCTATGACCATGGATAGTCTGGTATCCAAACATCCTGTCTATGCACATGTATCGGAAAATAGACAAATCCAGTCTATGTTTGATGATATTTCCTACATCAAGGTTTATATGTAATATTTGACTGAAAGTATCTGAACCATATAAACTATTTTCATTTCAACTACTTTTGACTCCGGATTATATAATTTTTTGACAGGTTACCTACTCTGTGGTTGAACATTCTGGTAGTCGGTCAGATAGGAGCAACCAAAAGAAGAAAAATCAAATATATGATCGGTGCAATTTTTGGGGAAGTTTACTGTTTTCCGATGATTTTGTCTAGTAAAGAAAACATAAAACAGAAAATTTCTCGAAAATTGTACCGATTGTAAACTTAGATTTTACTTCGTAAACTTTCTCATACTTGACCGAGTACCAGGATGTCCTACCAAAGAGTAGGTAACCTGTCTACAAAAACACAAACTCCGTAATAAAAAGTCGCTATTATGAAAATAGTCTATTGCTCCTAACCGTAAACCAAATGAATAATTATCATTATTATATTCTGATAAAGAGGTACGGCAAAGTTTTACTGATTTAAAATCCGGAAGTTGATGTATCTTTTAACTCAAAGTAAGTGTAACTAAGTAAATTGTACTGTCAAAGACCCTTCCTGATACCTTATAATAGCTTTTCAAAGCAAAAAGGCAGAAGATACTGTGACAACAAATCGTACGTCTATGAAAAACAATCAACACCATGGCAAAACTAGTATACAAAACACTACTACGTATAAAATAATCGAGCAAAACAACCTCAAAATAGCCCGAAATGAATTTAGGATAATATGATTCTGCTACATATACGACACCAAAAATAAAATTAACAACTTTATGTAGATCCATTTAATCAAAATGTAATTTTTTGCTTTACATTTGAATATTTTCAATTTTGTAAATTTGAGTAAAACAATTGTCTTGGTTTATAATTGATTAAAAGAAAATTTACCATTTTTAGATAATGTGTTCAAATGAAAATTGGGATCTTCGTGGCTATGTGGTCTAAGAACGTCATCTACAGTTATTACTAGACTGTCAAATATGTGGTTGTGATTAAAACATAACTCCTAGCGAGTTGTGTTGGTGAAATGCAATTTTGTTTATATCCATTTAAGAATATTCATGTAGGAAAAAATAAACGTACGTAATTGCAATTTAAAATCAGTGTCCTTGACTTCCAATATGTAACCGAATTTATTTCACAAAATCAAGATACGGAACAAACTGACATTGACTACATTATTCCTGATTTTAAAGACACGTTCTATGTCTATGTGATCAGTCTTATGTTATCTAACATGCAATTGGTATTCCATGAGCGATAATAAAAACTTTGCCTTTGAAAAATAGAAAAATTAAAATAAAAAACAAAAACAAAAAATAAAAAACAGACTACTTTACCTGGCTTCGTCAATTGGTATCTGGTAAACAGTTGTCTCATTGGCAGCCATACCTTATTTAGTTAAGCATAGATATATCAAGATTTTAGGCAGAAAGGAATAGCTAAATTGCTAAATTTTCACCATTTGTTTATATATACCAATTTAAATTAGTTAGCTGAAGGTAATAAATCTACAGCACTTCTAAAATTTCAAAACACAGCACGTATGTTATTTCTTGCATTGTTTCATCAATTATTTGACAAATTTTCTCAGATATATGTTATCTTCTTTTAGGGTGCATCTATAATTCGTATGATGAGGTTCTTTCTAGGAGAACATACATTTAAAAGAGGACTACAGGTATGTACAGAATTTACTATAGCTTTTCACATATTGTGGTAACAGTAGTTTACCGATGTTCAAATCTCAAAAATCTACTAAGGGAAATGCAAAGTCACAAACACATACTGAGGAAATCGCATGATCTCCAGAAAAAGCGAGACCGGGTTACGTTCAAATCTAGATAAAAACAATCCTCTAAAACACATTTAATAATTTAATGGATAACTTATTCTTGAGTGAAAATAACATAAACGGTACGATTTTTTTTTGCATCTGATGCAATAACTGTCTCTTCAGTGATGCTAGGGGCCAAAATATTTGAAAATCTAAAGCTTATTAAAAATATGAAGAGCTTATAAACAAAAATACCCCAAAAAGTCAAGCCAAAGCCAGGCAAGGAATCAGAGCTTTGCATGGGGTCTTGGTTTCAGGTTTTAAAACATTATAATTTGTTAAAAAAGAAAAAACCTTACTAGAGCACCGGTTGTCTCCAGGATAGTCTAACCGGATTTGAAAACAAATTTTCGAGAAAAAAAACCCACTTTAAAATAGGAATGAGTATGATGAGTTCTTTAAAAACGAATTTATTTTTCAACTTCAGTAACCTATCATATTCATTTGTTGAATAAAATATTACCGACAGACTCGATTGTGATATACAGATGTTTCCCTTTGTACTAAGTAAAATTTGAAATAAAAATTGAATAATGTAAATTCCATATTGTTTTAACCTTTAAGAATATCAAATAAGATAGGTCAAATACTATTATTAAAACATTTGTAAAAGTTTTACAACAAATTCACATATATTTCTTTAAGGCAAAATGTTATTAGTATCTATTCATTACTAATGATAGGGGACAGAACACTTAAAGAAATTTAACTCCGTAATCTAGTTAATCAACTGAACGTTTTAATCACATAATTTGAGTTAAAAAAAAAAAAAAAAACAAACAAAAAAAAAACAAGCCTCTCAATTATCAAAATTATTTTTGTCAAACTGCTATATATCCATTGAAATCATTCCTGTAAATTGTTTGGTTCAAATTTCTAGAAACTTTTATATTTTTGTCAACAGGACAAAGTAAATATTGTGTCAAAATTTAATATAAAACAACCCAAATCTATGTTAGCCAAAGAGTTGAGTACCCACTTAAACGAAGATACTTAATATACATCTACGAATGTATCATGTGTATGTTCATCTTGTTTTACCAGGTATGCAGAATCCTCTAGCTTTATTCATGTAGGGCCATTAAAATTTGGCCTACGTTTCTTTCCATAGTTTTATTAAATATAGTTTAAAAAGCCATTTTTGAAAATCTTATGAAATTCTTGTTATTTTTCATTGTTTTTTAATGGAAAAAAAGGTGCCAATGCTAAAAGTTAAAAAAATCGAGAGAGAATAATTTCTCGCCAAATTTTCAGTGGCTTATATCACATAAAGAAGGACACAACCTTTCATTTCTTTTTCTGCTTTTTCAGTTTCATTATTTATATACTGTAGGGTTTTCAATAATATTTTAAGTAACTGATGGACTTTGGAAAGTAACGGACCAAGCTAGTGGTCTAGGGGGCCGAACAGGCACCTGGTCAGATTGTGAAGCCCCATGGGGGACCAGAGGGGTCAACGCGCCTTGTAAGCTCCTTGATTTTGAGAAAAAGGATATAACTCAACATAGTCATAATAACTTTTAATTATGGCATTTTGTTCAATGGTTATAGTTTGATGTGTTCCTAAAAAGCATAAAAAGAGTTTTGAAAATGTGCAGTATAAATTTCAATCCTGTTGGTTCAGTGTTTTTTCCTGCAAGACAATGTCATAAGAAAACATTGTTGAATGGTATGCCCTCATTGGACCCTGTAATTGAGTTAATTAATAAAAATATTATCATATCAATCTCATTCATTTAATTGTTCTCATTATTCATTATAACATGTTGAAATCTAGTTTTATAAACAACCACAAAAATGGCTAAGTTTATTAGAAACCTATAATCTCAACCAGATATTCCAAGATGCAACAAGAGTTACAACTGATTCTAGTACACTAATTGATCATGTTTATGTCACCAATAAGGATTTGATACTAGACACATGTTGCTAAATTCTCTATAAGTGACCATTATCCAGTGTGTCTAACTAGAAAAGAAAAAAAAATCCACTTATATTAAAAAAGATATTCATACTACCATTTCTTACAGAAATTTTAAAAAATTCAATGAGACAAATTTTCTAAGTGACTTAGCTATTGCACCTTTTGATAAAATTGAACATGAAAGTCACCCAAATACATGTATTCAGATGTAGTATGACATATTTAATGGAGTTCTAGATAAACATGTACCAATTGTTAGTAAAAGTGTAAAAAGAGACAGACAACCTGAATGGTTCAATAATGAAATTACATATGCCTGGAAAATGAGTGAGAAATATAATAGACTAGGAATGTGGTCCGAGTTCAAATTTTGGCGAAACAGGACAAAACACATAATTGATGAATCTAAAAGAAATTTATATTCAAAGATGGTAAAAAATTCAAAAGCTTCAAAAGTTTTGTCGAAATGTATACACAGTCTCAACCCATCCCAACAAGAAAAACCATATGAACTTTTGAATGAAGATGGTGTTAAAACGAAAAATGTCAGTGACATTTGTAATGTTTATAATAAGTTTTTTACATCATGTGTTGAAAACCTGAGAACTGATAGATGTATGAGCAATAATCATGATTATGCAAAATTAACTCAATTTGTACAAAAGAAATTTACTAAGTCAAAACAAGTAAAATTTTCAATTCCAACAATCACAATAAATAATCTATTTAATGAGATGATCAAACTTGACATTAATAAATCAACCGGATCTGATAACATAGGACCAAATATTTTACATTTTTAACAGAATTAGAGATACAAGTACATTACCCAGTGTTCTAAAGAATGCAAGAGTAACCCCTGTTTTTAAAGCTGTGGAAAAATTCATGGCAACAAATTATAGACCAATTTCTGTTCTTCCTGTTTTATCAAAACTTTTAGAAAAGCATGATTCAAAACATTTGTATGACTATCTAAAAAGAATAAATCTTTTACACCCAGCACAGTCTGGGTTTCGACAAGAACACTGTTGCCAAACTGCCCTTATCAATATTATAGATAAATGGGTACAGGATATGAATGACGGTAATATCAACTTAGCAGTCCTGTTGGATTTTAAGAAAGCTTTTGATGTAGTAGATCATGATATTCTCTGTAAAAAACTTGAAATTTATGGATTTGATAAAGCCGCTGTTTCTTTTTTTTAAATCCTATTTGAATGAAAGTACTCAACAAGTACAAATTGGTAATGCTCATTCCGAAAAACTTTATATCAAGTATGGTGTCCCCCAAGGTTCCATATTAGGGCCCCTTCTGTTTATATTATACATAAACGACCTTCCTATCTATATGAAAATTGTTGCACTGATATATATGCTGATGATTCAACTTTACATCTTTCTGGTAGTTGTTATCAAACTCTGCAGTCAAAGGTACAAGAAGATTTGAATGGTGTTGAGGAATGATGTAATGATAGCAATATGTTCCTCAATAGAAATAAAACAAAATATATGTTTATTGGAACAAAGCAAAAAGCAATGCCACATTACAGTGAGAGTTGTTTAACTATTAACAATCAAGTGATGCAATCTTTCACAAGCGATAGTCTCTTAGGCATTAAAATTGACCTTCCCTCACATGGACAAACCAAATTGATTTGATCTGCTCAACAATTTCATCTAGGCTATATCTACTATTAAAGATTTAGAAATTTCAAAATCAAGCTGCAGAAAATTATTCTATAATGGTTATATCTTGCCACTAATTGATTATTGTTGTATAGTGTGGAGTAGTTGTAGCAGTGAGGGTTTAAATAGGATATTAAAATTACAAAAGAGAGCTGCCAGATTTATACTAGAAACAGACCCTTTCACTCCTTCCGAGCACTTATTCAAACACTTAAACTGGATGACAGTTGAACAGAGAATAAAATATCACAAGTTTGTGATGACATTTAAGTGCATCAAAAATGATGCCCCATCACATCTTACTGACAAGTTTCATTATGTTTCAGACATGAATCCATACCCCTTGAGAAATGCTGTTCAAGGAAACCTCATAATCCCTAAACCAAAAATAGAATTGTTCAAAAAATCTTTTATGTATTCTGGACTATTCTTGTGGAATAATTTGCCAATACCGCTAAGAAATATTACAAATGTTAATTCTTTCAAATACAGAATAACAGACCATTTATTGAAATCAACCTGTTGAAAAATTATTGAAAACTGATTATGTCATCACGGTTATTTTTTCATAACATTTTATCAAGTTGTATTGAACATTATTAACATACTTGACTTTTATACTAATATATGCAATGTATATGTTTGCATTTTGTTTGTGATTTTGTTTTATGATGAGGGGCTCAGGGAAGATTAGTTACATATGTAGCTAACTGTGTAACCCTCTTAAAATAAAGTATTGTTGTTGTTGTTAGTTCATCATAATCATCCTTATGATCATCATCTCCATCATCCATGTCGTCGAAGTCGTGTTTTGTTACACCATATTGATCAATGTCCAGATAAAGCGTTTTGATTGAAGGTGTCAAAATTCTTAAGTTTGAACCACTCAGTGCTAGTTTGTTTAACTGATCATTTAAAGATTGATTCGAGAATGCCTTTCCTCAGTGAATCTATATGATACTTCATTGCATGCAATCAGACAGTATTTTTTCAGTTTTTATTGGTGCTACATTTCCTTCATTGTCCCTAAAAAATGTTCTGCAAGAGTAATTATATGATAAACACCATATTGTTTATAGCCAGGTGAGTTTGGACTTGGAACAAGTGAAGGATCTAACACCGAGAAAGCAGCCAAAAAGATCTGAACTGTCAGCAAATCGCTTTTCAACGTTTTCAATTAAAGCCGTAATGTACTCTAAAACAGTGATTTAAGCTCACCCATTTCCTTCTTTGACACTTTCAAATCACTACATATGTTTTTTAAAGAATCAAAGTCACTAGTCATTTTTGTCAAGGAAATGTCATCCTCCAAAATAGCTATGAGGTTTTCGATAAAATTTTGGCTTTCGTTACAACATTCGCCTTATTAATCTTGTGTATATTAACTCTGAATTCGGCATAAATCTCACTACTGCAGTTTTGATCCATCGGTGAACAATATGAACTAATCAGATGTTAGGAAATATATCCTAAGTTGTGTGATCATATGAGATTTGTGAAACTGTAAAACGTAGCACGGATTAGGTTTTTCGTTTGAAAATGGCCATTTGAGTGGTAAAATTCAAATGCATTTGGCCCTACCTTTATAAAGATGCATCTAATATTTTATTTACAGTATAATTCATCGTAGAACATAAACATGTAGACATACAAAAACGCAACATTTCACAACAGTCACAATAAATGTCTGTTTAATGAAATGTTAACATGTCATTTCCAAGTTGTGAGATCTGTCTAGGTGGTCTCGTGGTCGCGTGTTTGCCTCGATTGTAGGGGGGGGGGTCGAATTCCGTCCGGGTCAAACCAAAGACTTTGAAATTGGCATTCGCTGCTTCTCCGCTTAACACGCGGCATTAAAAAGTAAGAGCAAAGACTGGTCGGCTCGGATTCATAATAACGTTTTCGGATAAGGTAACATGTCTTCCTACGGACGGTTACCTTTTGGACTAGCACTCTAAAACTCCAGAGCTCAGCGTGTCGGCCTAGTACAAAGCAGGGTTCATTTTCATATCGCATTTACATGTACACGTCCTGAATATGCATTTAAATTGCCACTGGACGTCTAACAGCCATCCATCCATTCAAGTTTAGAGGAGCATTTAATTGTATAAATAGAAGGATTATTGATCCAGTATTTGTTTTCTCTTTAGCGTTACCTGAAGAACCATCTATATGATGTGGCCACACACGATGATCTGTGGTATTCATTGGGCAATGTAAGTTTATTTCTTGCATATATGTCTGCTTGTTTGTTGGTGTGTAAAGTTATATTATCTTCAAATTTAACAACACAGATTAATAGGTTTTATATACTTGAATGGGTAAGTTTTACTAAAAAAAAGTCGTGAACAAAAAATTTCCATGAAAATAAATTCCTTTACCTTATCCAAGTTCTTTCATTGCCATAATTCGCCGACAGCTTTTCCATATGCAGTCCTCTAACCCATGACACCTCTCTTTAGAAATTTGGCAAATGCGAAGGATATCAAATTTGAAGGGGTTAAGATAAGATGCAAAATATTTGATGTTCTTTTCAAAAGTGAAATATTAATTCATAGAGTTTCTTCATCCTTTGAAAAACAAGATAAAGTTTTATTACATTTCATATCTAAATCATTGTTTAAAATTGAGAATGGAAATGGGGAATGTGTCAAAGAGACAACAACCCGACCAAAGAACAGAAAACAGCCGAAGGCCACCGACGGGTCTCCAACACAGCGAGAAAAATCCGACACACGGAAGAGGGCTTCAGCTGGCCCCTAAACAAAAATGTGTTTGTTTTCTTTTTTATTAACCAGTGGATGACATCGTAAACAAATATATGCAGTCATTGAACAATATTTTTCACTTACAAGAAATGTACATGCTATTTTAATATTTATTTAACAGCAAAGTAAAATTGACAGAAATCCAAAATTCATTCAGAACATAAAACATATAATGGATACATGGGTGATGCAGATGAACTATCCAACTGTGTTCATAAAACGGGATAGAGATAAACTTATACTAACGCAATCACGATACCTTTTGGATACAGAAGCCGTTGATCCTGGCAAATATGAATCCCCCTTTGGGTATGTATTATTCATCGGTATAAGAGGGTCTGGATGGGGTTTATAAAATAATTTAGAAAATAGGATCGAGTTAAACTCATACTAAGGCAAACAAGATACCTGTTTGATGTCACAGCCATTGCTCCTGGCAAATATGAATCCCCCCCTCAGGGTATGTGTTATTTTATAGGGTCTGGATGGGTATAGAGAATAAAGGATGAAAATTGCAGAATAAAGAGGACAAAATATAAATATTAGATTAAAGTAGGCCAATAAAAAAGAGAATAGAGAATAATGGGGTGCTGAAATCTACATAATGAAGAATAATGTGCAAAACGTGCAGAATAAGTGGCTAAAAATATAAAGAATAGAGAAAAAGGAGGCAACAAATATAAAATAAAGAGTAATGGGGCGCTGACATATATATATAATGGTGAATAATGTGGAAAATAAATAAAGAATATAGAAATATGGTCTAAAAATTAAAGAATAAAGGAATGAAGAAACCCTCATCCGGACTCTCGAATAATTAAACATACCCTATGCACCAACGTAAGAATTATGTGTTTGAATCATATGCACGAACATATGTATGATTGCATTCATTGAGCATGGCTAATATAGCAACATTAATTGGTACCTAAATTGAAGAAAGGGTGGTTAAATGTCCTTTTAGACATGATATCATCATTATCAAAAGGTAATTTCCTCTGAAAATTTCACTATGTGTTAAATAGGATGCATATAAACATGAACAACGTTTGAACACATTTTCGTCCCCTATTGTGTTGGTTCTTTTACTTTTCATTCTGTTGCTGTTAAAACATTTCATATGAAAATATAGGTTTTACAAGAAAGTCTATTATATTAATTTCGAAAAGAAATCGAATGTGTACACATACATCTGTAACTTTAATATATGCACAAACATATAGCTGTAGATTTAGTATATACACATACATGTAACTGTAAATTTAGTATATGCACATACATATAGCTGTGGATTTAGTATATACACATACATATAACTGTGGATTTAGTATATACACATACATATAACTGTGGATTTAGTATAACCATACATATAGCTGTGGATTTAGTATATACACATACATATAGCTGTGGATTTAGTATATACACATGCATATAACTGTAGATTTAGTATATACACATACATATAGCTGTGGATTTAGTATATACACATACATATAACTGTGGATTTAGTATATACACATACATATAACTGTGGATTTAGTATAACCATACATATAGCTGTGGATTTAGTATATACACATACATATAGCTGTGGATTTAGTATATAAACATACATCAAACATAAACTAAAAGAACTAGCCAAGGAATTTGTTTTTGTCCCGGCCGATAAAGCTGCTAATAATATTATTATTGTTTGACGTAAATTTTACATTGAGGTTCTGAAAAAAGAAATCACCAATTCACCAACATTCCAACTGACTCCATTTTCAGAAAACGACATCTGTAACAAACATAAACTTTTAGCTACCGCTTTACAAGCAGAACCAAATACAATGAAAGTCCCAACTATGTATTGGCTTCCGAAGCTACACAAAACACCTTACAAATATAGATTCATTTCGTCTTCAAGCCATTGTTCCACTACTAAATTGTCTATTCTTCTTACCAGTACACTTGGTACAATCAAAAACCTGATAATAAATTGTTCAAATAAGGCCTTCGAAAATAGTGGAATTAATTACTTTTGGAGTGTCAAGAACTCGTTGGAAGTACTTGATAAATTGCATGCATATATTGGTGATTTTGAATCTGTTCAAAGTTTTGATTTTTCTACCCTATATACCACATTGCCTCACATTCTCATTAAGAAAAAATTCACACACCTAATTAAATGGGCATTTAAAAAGTCAGAATGTGAATATATATGTTCAAACTCTTTTAGGTCATTTTTTAGTAGCAATAAACAAAAAAACTATGTCAATTGGACATGCTTTGATACTATATATGCCCTTGAATTTTTACTAGATAACATTTTTGTTCGCTTTGGAGATTCCGTATATCGTCAGGTTATCGGAATTCCAATGGGGACTAACTGTGCACCACTTATTGCGGACCTTTTTTTGTATTGCTATGAGTTACAATTTATGACAAAAATCAGTAAAGACCCATCGAAACAACATCTGATACACAAATTTAATAATACTTTTAGATATTTGGATGATATTTTGGCTCTCAATAATGACGACTTCAGTATGTATACTAAAGAAATTTATCCTGTTGAACTTACTTTAAATAAAGCTAATACTAACAATGACCACTGCCCTTTCCTCGATCTTGATATCTATATCATTAACGGAAAGCTTAATACTAAAATATATGATAAAAGAGATGATTTTTCATTTCCTATCGTTAATTATCCATTTTTAGATGGTGACGTTCCCTTGTCACCATCTTACGGTGTTTATATATCTCAACATGTACGATTCGCTCGTGTATGTAACAATGTTTTAGATTTTAACGAGAGAAATGTATGTATTACTGAAAAATTATTACACCAGGGTTTTCGATATCACAAACTAGTCAAAACATTTACTAAATTTTATCATCGGTATAAGGACATCATTCGTAAATATAGCTCAACATGCAGACTTCTTATACGTTCAGGTATTTCACATCCAATTTTTTATGGAAATATTCTTTATAAAGCACAAAAATGTCAGTATTCACCTCTGAAACTAACAAAACCTTTAAATAGACTTATTAAGAAGGGATATAGTTACGATACTGTTGTCAGGTCATTAAAGATTGCATACTTTGGCGTTGATATTGATTCACTTATAGGGTCTTTGCATCTGCACTAAACACATTTATTTAAAAACCAGTTGTTGGCATGACACGGGTTATGTTCTTCTCATATATGTTATGATGGTATGATACTAAACCCCTAACGGGAAGGATTGTGCCTGATATTCATATGATGAAGACATAATCTTTCAATCAGTTTAATTGAAGTCTGGAGCTGGCATGTCAGTTAACTGCTAGTAGTCTGTTGTTATTTATGTATTATTGTCATTTTGTTTATTTTCTTTGGTTACATCTTCTGACATCAGACTCGGACTTCTCTTGAACTGAATTTTAATGTGCGTATTGTTATGCGTTTACTTTTCTACATTGGCTAGAGGTATAGGGGGAGGGTTGAGATCTCATAAACATGTTTAACCCCGCCGCATTTTTGCGCCTGTCCCAAGTCAGGAGCCTCTAGCCTTTGTTAGTCTTGTATTATTTTTAATTTTAGTTTCTTGTGTACAATTTGGAGTTTAGTATGGCGTTCATTATCACTGAACTAGTATATATATTTGTTTAGGGGCCAGCTGAAGGACGCCTCCGGGTGCGGGAATTTCTCGCTGCATTGAAGACCTGTTGGTGGCCTTCTGCTGTTGTCTGTTCTGTGGTCGGGTTGTTGTCTCTTTGACACATTCCCCATTTCCATTCTCAATTTTATATAACTGTGGATTTAGTATATACACATACATATAACTGTGGATTTAGTATAACCATACATATAGCTGTGGATTTAGTATATACACATACATATAGCTGTGGATTTAGTATATACACATGCATATAACTGTAGATTTAGTATATACACATACATATAGCTGTGGATTTAGTATATACACATAAATATGAATAAAAACAAAGGAAAACCTAAAGGAATCAAGTGAGGTCAAAACAAAGCCAGAACAGGTGTATTGATAGGATAGGTGTCTCCTGTTGCGCTTGCATCCCTCGCCTTGCGAATCCAGATTCAAGCAAAATGCTACATTAGAACATTTTCTATTCCAATATGAGTGTAAAAGAGAGACAAAAGATACTAAAGTAATATCTTAACTAATAAATCGAAGACAAACTAACAACGTGAAGGAAAAACACAAAAAAAAACGACCTACAGACACACAACAGTATACTCAAAACACCATAGAAAAATACAGTCTACAAAAAAAAACATAGAAAAATAAATAACGAGGAACACGAAGCCAACCATTCTACTACGATCTTATATGTTCACACTAACTTTAAATACATATTCTTGTTTTTAGATATAAGTGGGTAATACCTGCGACATTTACTACTAGTCTTAATCTACGTTTTAATCAAACAGCCAAGGACATAATTTGGATTGATATATATACCTCAGATGGTAATTATATATTATTACATTCATACTGAAAAATGAAAGAAAAAAATACCATTGGTTTGATGTTTCAATATTGAATTGAAGTTTAAACAGTCATCAGCCACTGAGGGCAACTGATTAACTGTTCTTAAAAAAAAAAGATTAAGGTCAATGATCATAAAGTTCTAGTACTGAGAAACAAAAGCGGATAAAACTGTACATTTCCGCTATCGTGTGACTTTATATACTCCTAAAATGTTTGTATTAACTATCAGTTGTAAAACTAACTAACTACTTATAAATATGAATTCACTGGGTAATTTCCTTGGTTATTCAGTGATTAATTCACAGGGATACTCGGCCAACTGCTGTAAGTTGATTAATTTGTCATAACAGCACAGAAAAGTGCATTAAAGATATTTTAAGATGAAAAAAAGAGGTTTGGCACGCAACAAAAACATTACTTGGTTTACCTCATTACTTTAATTTGCAAAGTGCCTTTTGCATATCAGAATAACGACTTCAATATTTCAATCATGATGATTTCCGAGGATCTTGATTTCACGGGAGTCTTCATTTCTGTATTCTTTAATTTTGATAACTTTGCATATTGGCTTTCGGGCGTTCCAAGTCTGTTAAATATGATTCTTTTATAAACATGGTAAATGATAGATTTTTTTCCATCCATATCGCTATCAAAAGTTATATGTGGGTATGGTGTTACGGCTGTACCTACATTTTACAGTTACCATCTCTAGTGCAATGAGTGGGTCATCAGCCAATGATTGGTACATAGGAAATGTAATGCAGTACGGCTACTTCAGGGTAAATTATCCGGAGGAGAATTGGATAAGACTTATTCAACAACTCAAAACAGACCATACGGTAATGATATAGGTCTACCGATACATACACTAGTTACATGTAACCATATTTTTTATCTGACACGGTCATTTTGATTTGGACAGTTCTTAAAAGACTGAAAATAAATGATAAAGTTATTTTCAGTCTTTCGCCTTCTTTTCAGACTTATCTACTGCAGTTCATTTAGTACTGTTCAGACATTTCACTTGCAGTCATTTAAGATCTGTTTTATCTTTGTTCAGACAGTTCAGTAGTTTTTATTTACCCATACATTTTGACATCAATATGACCGTTTCAGACTAAAATGCATTTACCAGTGATAGTGTTACATTTATAGTCAAGTTCAGGAGTGAAAATATGAGTTTAAAAATATTGTACGTATAGATTCTACCACTGCATCTAAAGATAAACGATATTTCATCACTGAATACAGTTGAATGTTCAATATTCCAAAACGCTTAGTGATAGTTTTTACTGAAAATTTAACTGTCGGGGATGCACGAGATTCTGTGGTGAAATCTATTTCTAAAATAACTTTAGACGATATGAAGGCAAACTTTATCTTTCTTTTCAACGAACTGCAATAAAATAGCATTCTTTCAATGTCATGGAATCAGGTATGGTGTCCCTTATTCGTGACGTCATAAAAGCAAACTAACAGAATAACAACCACGTTTGACACCATTAATAAATGTTGACTAATGAATTACAGAGATCAAACGAATCACAGTTAAATTATCAAACAAATAGTTAACCTGTTCGGAAATATATAAATCGAATCATAATTACCGAAATTCAATTATAGTTTATATGTGAATTAGAATAAACTGAACGAAAAACAAATAATTATTCAATAAATGGCATTTGATCATGTTGATGTAGAGGAATTGAAAATTAAAGCGGTCAAAGAACGTACAGACATCGGATATATTTCAATCGAGATTTTTAATTTTTTAAAAGTAATTTTTTATTTTTTTGTTTTTGAATAACAATTATTGAGTAAATTAACTCAAATACATGTAGCATGTATATGCTGTTAAATTTATCATTTTAGCTTATACCTCCAATAAATAGGGCACAGATAATAAACGATGTATGGAATCTGGCTAAGTGAGTATACCATAGGACTTATCATGTTAACTTGTCTACCGATGTATATCACAATATTTTTTGGCTCATTTACTTGATAAAATACTACATAAATAAATATTTGAGTCCATTATGAAACTGAACTGGAGCAAATTCTTCTACAAAATTTGACCAGTCAATATAAAAATTACAAAAAGAAACGAACAGAACGATAATGTGTAATTAAATAACAAGAAAGCACAAATACGAGATTGACTCCATTGGTCGCATGAGCCTTTGCTTACTAAATGTAATTAACGACACAAATATGTCGCATTGATTGTTGTATATGTGTTAAACGATATACAGCAATGTTTACATCGACAATAATCTACTTGGTAATTTGACATTATGTAACACTATTACATGTATTAGTCTTAATTTTGCAACCATGAATTTTACAAGTACACAGAAAAAAAGATGAGTCGTCCCTTATTAAACTTATCTTCATCAATATGCTATTTTAAATAAATACTAGACCATCCTTTCGTAGACATATTTTGATCAACAAACATATTGATTGATATTTCGTATGTTTGACATCCACTGCTAGTTTGAAATGGAATTTAAAAAGGGAGTCATTTATAATAACATGACCGTATCGGGAAGAGGCCATTGTTTGTAAACAATCCGTACATGGATTATAAATGACACGTGATGTAAACAATTTATTTAGGGCGCAATTTGCAGACTACACACTGTGTTGTGCGTATAATATACGAATCAAATATATCTATTTTGTCAATGTCACCTGATGACAGCTCAAAGAATTTGCACTCGATTATCTGACAGTCATTTATGTTATTATATCAGAATAATGTAGTTTTATTAATTATTGCCTGCATATCGTCCAGTGACAAATATTTAGAACGAAACCAAATTTAGTCAAATATACAGTATGTAGGTTCTAAAAGATAGGTCGTCCGGGATGAATTCGATAATTTATACTTCAATCGGAAACTAAAATATGGATATGTTGGATATAGGAAGAAGCCAAACAACAGATCAAAGACGGATCCCAAAAAGAGTTGCATCCTGGGTATTTTAACGCCTACAGAACGTAGGTATCATCCAACACGCGGGTGCTGTTGAAGCTTTATAGCTCTGCTATCATTTTGAACAGATGTACGGTTTAAATTATTTTTCAAATTGTGTTTTGTGTTTAAAAGGTCAGGAGATGTCAATACTTATATTGCATTGCAAACATTAGACTATCTGCCAAAGGAGGATAACGTTATACCATTAAGAGCTGCTTGGACGGAAATAAATTACCTACGGGAAGCTGTGATTGAAACAGACCTTAACAGTACCTTTTCTGTAAGTATATAGATATGTCTTCGATTTGGATGCCCAGTAGATTGCAGTTATGTTGTAATTGTAATACAAAAATAAGAGTATGTTGTATGGTTGCTAATAAAACAGCTACCCTCCCAAATACCAAGGATGTAAACTGTAAGCAACTACAGTTAAGTATAAGGTTATCAAGAGAGAGAATATCCTATACCGTTTAATGAACTATGAAAGGCCCCCAATTAAAAAAATGTGAAGCAATTTAGAAGAGAAGACTAAATTACAATTATTCTTATGAACCATTTTAACCCCCGGTCAATTGTGTAAAAAGTCATGCTATCTTGATAATGGGTTACTTTTTGTGGTCTGTTATCATTTTGTATATCTATATCACAGAGGCATGAGTTGTTGTTGGTGTAGTCTATTGTACGGTCTGATATATTTGGTAATTTCCGTTTTCTTTTTTTATGTTTCATCTAAGTATGAACAAGTACATAAATAACATATGAGACGAACTAAAATAACATCACAATACAAAAGTAGGAAACAAAGTGATTTGGAACTTCATTTTATAATAAATTGTATTATAGTTTCCTTTGTAAAAAAAAAGACCAACACAGAACACAAATACCGCAAATTAGATTAAAAAAAAACCAATTATTGCTCATTACATTGAATTTATTTTACGTCAGTTCCCATGAGCTACTTTGTACGGCATAATTTGACAGTGTTTGATTATTCAACATTTTTAAATCGTACATATCATCCGGGTTTTTATTAGTTTTTAATAGATGATATTCAGAAGGATCTATATCGAGTTTCGCAATGAACATGATGAACTATAATTCAAAACTAAATTGAGATAAATCGGATATCGGTGCAACTAGTGCCCATAGGAAATACTTGAAGTCATCCCATCATAAATGTTATGCCCGTCATTTACGAGTTTGTCGACCGTTAGAAGATACCTGTCACACATAACAACGAATGTGTTCATATCGTTGTAACCACAATCCAGGCATTGTTTCCTCAATGTGACTTTATAATATGAGACAGATCACCACATGTGTACTTACATGAGCAAGATGACGGGGTATTCATGTGGAGCAAGATCTACTTAAACATCCGCTGCCCCAGAGATTACCTCCCGGATTTGAGTGGGGTTCGTGTTACTCGGATTTTATTCTACTCTATAGTGGTTTGTATACTGCTGTTTGTCTTTTTTGTCGGTTTCCTCTTCTTTCGTGACGTTGCTAATTTATTGTGTGAATGTCCTTTTGTATCTTCCGCCTCCAACCTGCATTTCTGAACTGAACAAAGATGTCGGTGCTAAATGATGTTAGGCAATTCGAAATGGTTAAAATTAATCAACATTCTTTATTAAACAAACACAAAAATTATACAAACATGAGATCGAGTTCCGCTTGTCACTTTTGTGAACCTGGGTAGCATTGGTAAGCTTGACAAAAAATATTGAATGATATGTGATTATTAAGTTTCGGTGATATAAGATTATGATCAAAATCGTATTCAACAAACACCGAGCAGACTGAAATACCTCTTTTCTCTCAGGTTTTTACCTTTGAAACTTTAACGAACTTTTATCAATTATTATAAAAAGAATATGTGATAGTATAGATGCTTTAACGAATTTGAGACCACACAATTTGAGTTTCTGGAAAAAAGGATATAATCATCTATAAATTAGTTTAAATGAAGATATAAAACCGCCGTCTTGATAAATGAGCGGAAAGACAATCAGATATGCATAAACTTTAAATCGAGAAATGTTAGATTCTTTGATATATATGCATGAGCGACACATGAGCTTTATGACGGGTGCAACATGTGGAGCAGGATCTGCTTGCTCTTCCAGATCACATGAGACCATCCCTAGTTTTTTTAATGGGATTCATGTCTTTAGTTTTCTATGTTGTGTTTTTTTATACTGTTGTCTTTTGGTCTTTTTCTATTTTGCCATTGCGTTGTTAATTTATTTTCAACATTGAGTTTGCATGTCTATTTTGTATCTTTCGCCTCTCTTTTATACCTGAAATAATTAGTTCAGATTTACAAAGGATTATAAAAACGTAACATTTATAATGTTTGAAATAAAAAAAAATATATGTATATATATGTAAACATTGATATTGTATTATATGTGATGAACATCATCAAATCACCATGAAAGCAATTATATATAAAACAAGTGCATCACTAGAAGACTTAAAAACAATATAATCAACAGACAACCACAACTATGATTCTTAATGGGTTATGTATTACAAGTTCGATGACTGTATAATAATTAAAAACATGTTTCTAGAATAACAACTTGAAACAAGATGTTATAGTTTCAATATGATTTAGTTATGATTCATAGTTTTGTTGTAGAAAGTTATGAGGAAAATGTTATCGAAGCAATTCAATAAATATGGAATTGATAATACCGGTGCTGGCCATACAGAAACGTAAATATTTTTTAAAATTAAATAAATAGAAAAGAAAAGAAATATTGAATACATTTAATAAAAAGCACTCGAAAGTTCAAGGAAATTCGAATTTAAGCATCATTACTTTTTAATTTTTAGTGGTCGCTTATAATTCTTTATAGGTTTCCTTGGCAGGTATTGCAAATCGTTAATCATTCTTCATCCATGATTCGTCGTCTTGGTTTTTTATATGTTTTCACTCACTTGGCTGGAAGGCCAAAATAAGCTTTTCTCATCACTTGGTATCTGTCATCCCTTTTCGTCTCTCGTCCGTTCGTCGTCGTCGTTTACTTTTACAAAAATCGTATCCTCTATATTATTTAGAAAGCGCAGGTGGGATTTTTTAATTGATTGATTGATTGATTGATTGATTGTTGGTTGCTTAACGTCCAGTGGCAAATATTTCATGCATATTCAGGACGAGAACAAGTTAACAATAAATACAATAGGTAGGTTCTGTAATAGGGGCGTCCGGGATTAAGGTCGGAGAAATTTAGACTGCCACGGGAAATGAGGGTATATTGGATAGGGACAGAAATTTAGCCTTGCAACAGGTCACCTACGGACCCCTCAAAGAGTAATTGCAAGGGTTCTTAACGTGCAAAGAGCGTGGCACTTTCTTTACACGAGGCATCGGATTTAACGTCCCCATTCTGACCGGACGTGGCTGCAAATTTGTACATCCCGCACAGCCAAACGGACACCCCACTTTAGCAAGGGTTTTACTGCCGGTCGGCGGAAGACCAATGGTGACCATACTTCTATTCCCCAGTCACCCTTGGGGGTTGGGATTTTTTAAAGTTTCATTTATTGTCTTAAAGAAATGCACTACGAAATAACTGTGTTCTCGTGCCAATAACTGGTAATTTAATAATACTTCACCACAATCATTATTGGGGTATCTAGTTTCACATATATGTCAGATGACCCAACATCCTAACCAACATAGCCAACATGGCTAAAAATAGAACATAGGGGTAAAATGCAAGTTTTTTCTTATATCTGGAAAACCACTATGAATAGAGAAAATCTTACAGGAGCAGAAATGTTCAAAATTTTGGGATCTACCTGCTGTCCATTGAAGTCGGACGACTTCTTAAATATCAAAGTTTAAAAAATGAACAACAAGCCATGATCTAAAATAACGTCAAATGAGTGAAATCATCCGTTGACTCCTTAGTAAAGTAATTGTCCTTTAATGACGAACTTTCTATTTCTTTTTTTGCATTTTTGCATTTTTTTGTTAAAACGATTATTGATAGATAAAAATGTCACAAAGCAAAAACGATTTGCAAGACAAGATATACTAATAAGGTATTATGGATGGAATCTTCAGTCGACTTGTTTTTGGAATTATTGCCCTTTTAAGATGATTTTTACCTTTTGTTGGAGTTTTTGCCTATTATCTTTAAACGAATTGTAGATACAAATATAGATAGAAACTTTAAGAGTAAAAATTATCAGCAGGATAAGAGCTACAAATATGTCAACATAACTGAAATTGTCAGTTAACTCTTTGACTTATTACCCTTTCATGATGATTTTTACAAAAAAGTGGCCATTGTTGAAGATGTCAGTTAGCAACACAGACTCTTTAGAGCCTCTAGTCTGGTCTCGTTTTCCTTTCATACATATATTATTTGTATGGTTAAAATGGATTCATTATTTATTCAGATTTATAAATAAACTCATTACAGATAACAGGATTGAAATTTTGTACACCATTTATGTTTGTCTCATATATGAGGGTCTGAATGGGGTATCCTTGATTTTTGTATTCTTTTTTTTGTAGAGCATTTGTCTCTTTTCTTTATCTATTGTGCCTTTTTTTCTTTATATTTTAACACCCAATTATACTATATTCTTTATTTGTCGGACCAGTTTTTTCTATATTCTTTATTATTTCGCCCTTTATTCTCCACTTTTTGCTCATTGTTCCTTAATCTGTGAACCCAATCTAGACCTTATATATGACAAAAGTGTCGTCATTTATGTAATATCAAACTTATGCTAGACATATCTTCTGAACAAATAAGCCATATTGAACAAATCTTTGCAGGAATTTAGCATTAAATAATTTATATGAAAATTTATCGTTGATAGTAGTCTTGCCAGACGAACTTTTTGTATACACTTGAATCATCAGTAGCCCTCAAATTAAAACATGATAAGGCCAGAACAATTTCAATTCCTCGTTCCATTCCAATAAGACGTACATATATAGCCACTATATAACATTATTAGTCATCATAAGTAAAATTTCATTAACATGTTGGTACTACATGACCTTGATCACCTCTCTTCATATTGAACAAGAACGCATATCAAGCTATGAGCAAACAAAAAAGAGTGTAAACACAAATAAATTTTAAGGTATATCATTGTAAGGAGTTGTAACGAATGCAACAATTGCAAATCAGCAAAGGTTTGTCACAGATCGATTTAGTTAGAAAAATGCAAATTACGTGATCTGCAAGGTAACAGACAAAACCGATGGAATCCTATGAACTCCAAAAGGATCGAGACCAGTTGACTTGAAGAGTAAGCGTCCCTGGCTATGCATGGATCAAACGTCATGCGAGTTATTAGTAACTAGAATAGTTTCTAGATTCTTTTTATTTCATACACATGACTGTTGATATAGTTTACATATTCTATTTTACCTACGCATCATCTACAGAATTAAGAACGGAAATACAAGTCGCTATTAAGTTGAGACACCGACAAAATTTTGAAATGACCTTAACACAACCATGTTATAGTCGTTGGTCCTCATAGCTCTGTTGGAGCATTTTATGTGTAAAGGCACATTGACAATCAAACCTGCATACAAAAATTCATTGTTTAGATTGATCCAATAAGAGAGATAGTCATTGAATTTTGGTTAAAATGCAGAGGTATTGTTTTAGCGGAACAAAAAGAGAACGACCTGACAAAAAATGGGGGAATTATTAAACATGCATAGTGCGTTTGTTTAACTTATTTTCTAGAATGACCCGACGTGGGATTGTACGTATGGCATGTGACTATGAGAGTGAGGAATGCATTCAAAACTGTACAGATATCTTTAAAAAGTATATGGAAAATCCAAACGAAAATCCGTAAGTTCTTAGAACAATAATCATAGATATGTAGGACTCTAAAGTGCGATGGGGACACTTAAACGCGATGGTCACGCTAAAGTGCGATGGTTTGGGCTATTCAATGGAATACGCTAAAGTCCGATTCCTCATTACGCTAAAGTGCGTTTTTCCGCAAAAGTGCGTTTGATCGCGAATGTGTGACTTTAGCAACGCCACATGTCGTTTGTACAAACAAATAAATAAATGGACATGCCCGGAAACTAGAATATTTTTCCAAATAAAGGGTTTTTATTAGACAAGAAAAGAAAGAAGAGAGAAACAAATGACCCCAATCTGAATTATTTTTGGTTGGCGCTGGAAGATGTTAACTTGATGTGTAAAAAGAAATGTGATCAACTGGAGTGCACTCATACCACATCTTCTTATATCTATAAAACAGCTGGAGTTCAAAAATAAATTAACTTAGAAACTCCTTCTATGTTTGTAATCCCATATCATGTACTTACGTGATTCGAATTAAATTATTCTATAAAACATGTTTTTATAATATGGTTTGTCATTTCTGTTGAAGAGATGGATATCTGTCAACTAGATAGTAACCTCACGGCTATAGGTTTAGTATGATGATATGATTGTCAATGAGACAACTCTCTATCCAAGACCAAATGTCATTCGTGTAAACAACTATAGGTTAACACATGGCCTTTAACGCGTAGCATTGGCTAAAACCGGATAGTATTCTATAAAGACCACTGAATTACAGGTTCATAAAGTATATACTAGCTACTGCAATATGTAACCATTACACTTTTTAAATAACTATCGTACTTTAAACAAAAATTAGAGGATGTGGTACTGTCAGTGCGACAACTATCCACCCAAGACCAGATGTCATTGATGTATGCAACTAATAACCGTACGCCCTTCAACGTAGAGCCTTGGTCCACGCTGCAGGGCCACACAATGATCAGTGTTAAACAATTCAATAGAGAATGGCAACGGCTTAATTTGTAAAGAAAACATTAAACAGAAAACTAAAAGGAACACAGCAACAACGAAAATCATTGCCTGAACCCCATTACCTTTACACCATCATGTTATCCCATTGCACTTAGAAGTGTCATACCATCGCACTATATCGTGTCATATAATAGCGCTTAAAAAAACAAAGAAAACATCACACTTTAGCGTAGACCATCGCACTTTAGCGTGACCATCGTACTTTAGAGTACCATCGCACTTTAGAGACCTAAAGATATATAACTGAGTCTTTTGAGTGTTCATTTATTGTTATTCCAAGTGTGATCGCTGGGAAAGGAAATACATAGAATAATTCTATATGTTAGTTAATACGATTTAAAAATTAATTTAACATTACGAAGTTGTAAACTATAACATGTATAAGTAATGTTTAGAATAGTTTCTAGATTCTATTTTACCATACACATGACTGTTTGTGAAGTTTACATATTCTATTTTGCCATAAAAATTACTGTTGTGGGAGTTAACAGTTTCTATTTTGCCATACAAATGACTGTTGCAGGAGTTTACAGTTTCTATTTTGCCATTCACATGACTGTTGCAACTGTTTTTTTTACAGAATCGACGTCAATCTACGTGGAACTGTTCTTTGTACAGCTGTTCGAAATGGTGGTTTTAAAGAATATGAATTTCTAAAAAGAAAGTATAAAGCATCGGATATCCCTTCAGAAAAGTATACACTTCGTTACGCTTTGTTGTGCAGTAAAGATATAAAGATTCTACGATGGTAATTTATGCATAAACTAAATTTGGATTGATATTGCATTTTGTAGTGCGTTAATTACTTTTGATGAAATTAGATATGTTACAAATATTAAAACCTCATTTAAAATTTTCCTTCAATAACAAAAATAGGAAAAAATAAATGTATCAAAGGAGGAAAACTTATTTTTGACTTCGATCTTTGGGTTGTTGTCAGAAACTATTGAATGACAAATTCAATAGTTCAAACCTTATTTCGTCCAATCGTAGATTGTTACTTACCAAAGAATTTACGTGCTTATTTAAAGAAGCTCAACGGAAAATCCTACAACAGTTAAATATGAGAAGAATTTAAAATAATTGTTTAAAAACAGCCAATATTAGTTTACCGATGATTAAATCGCATGCATCGATTGAGAAGTTATTAATCAAGCAAAAAATCAAAATCTGAGGGAATCACACGAACTCCAAAAAAAAATCCGAGAACCGGTAAAATCGATAGTAAAGATATCACAATCAGGAATATGACACATCGGTTTATATGTTTATAAAACGAATTTCTGTTATCAAAAGACATAGGAGCATAGTGCTGGTGAGTTGAAACACAGACACATTGCATGGTTGAACCAATTCGTATAGTGACCGTAAAAGAAAAGAAGATACAAAGGGAGCAGTCGAAAATCATTATTTCAATATAAACATACATAATCTTGGCCAAAAATATAAAATACGAAAGGAAACGAAACATTATATAGAAAGCTAAAGCATGTGCAACACGAACAACACCAAATACTTATGTAGTGTGAATTTAAATCGTTCTGCCTCATAAATCTACTGGATAAGTTTTTATTTAAAAGATCACAACTGTTATTGAAGTCCGTATAATGCGAACATGCACGACCGTAATGTATTAAATGTATTAAATCTGGTTTGCAAAAGTCATACGACTAATCAGATGGTATGTTCCGGCGGGAAAATGTGAGGTTGACAATCGGAAAGTTGAAATGATCACGGTTATCGTAGATTCTATTTTTTTTTAAAACGTCCATCAAAGTCAATATCGATGATTATATCAAGATATGAATCTGACCTTGTTGGAATACTATCCCTAATCGCAAGTTCACTGTGATATATGACATGCAAGCACTCACTTCAATGTGGGCAATTGAGTGACCTTAATCATCAATATATCTGAAAGTGAAATAAAAGGACTCATCAAGGTTGTTTTTATGCTTTTATTGTTTAATTTGAGTTCACCTTCGTATGAGTACAAAACTAGCAGGTCAGTAGGGAAGACACATTACTACCAATTGAAATACCGACAGTCTGGTAAAATCAACAAAACCATATTTGTTGACAATTAAAAAACCCGAGCTTTTTGATGAAGTAATGTTGTGTATTTAAACAATTAAAACGATAAAGCTAAGAAATAAGCGTCTATATAAAATCATGATCAGTATTTTGTCAAAATATGGTCGAAGATGATAAAAATCACTAATCACATTATATTATATGCTACTATAGTATATAAGGGAATTATATTTTGTCATTTGACTTAAAATCTAACATATATCCTGACGATACTTACCAAAGGGATTAAGGATCCAGGTTAAGAGTTGTTTTGATTTAACCAGGAAACTACTAAAACATAGGTCCACTTTTAAAGAATTAACAAATATCATAATGAACATTAAAGGGCTTTAGATTTGGTTGCTTTTTACAGAATGTCTTCGTAACATATCACCTCGTCTTGTCTATCATTTATTTTCAAAACCAAAACGACACCATCTTGAAAGCACCAGTAAACCAATTTGGACTGAAACGGTCATTTAATACGAACAGTTACTAAAATATTATAAGTCATGTTTAGTCTTTCAGTTAATTATCAAACGTATCCACTGCGGTAAATTGAGTACCCTTCAGACAATTGGTTGCAGTCAATTAAGATCGGATCAGTCTATATTCAGACTGTTTAGTTCTTGTTATGGACCTGAAACAATATAATAAATTGTCTGAAAAGCTACCAAGCAGTATTGAATTGATTGCTGGCCAAATGTACGAACGGTACCGAACTTACAGTAAGAATGTATCTGAAAAATCATTGAAACTCTTTTAACAAAGCATAACGTTCAGACTATTCAGATGCTGACAAGATCAAAATGACCGTTGAAGACTAATATTCGTTTCCTAGCGAAGAAATTACTACTTGAAACTTGAACAATACACAGGTAAAACGGATATGTTTTTTTCAGAGAAAAAAAAATCATTTGGAAAATTATTATCTTCACATATAAGTAAATTGGAACATGTTTCAAGTTTCATGAGCAGATCAATACCCAAAAATGTCATCTTCGCACACAATTACGTCATCTTGTATTGTACTTTAGGTATTTGAAAAACATTTTGCATACTGAGGACATAACAAAGGAAGACGCCGTCGAAGCTGTTCTACATATTTCTATAACTGAAATCGGTCGTCTACAAGCGTTAGAATTTATCAAGGGAAATTGGGATATTATTTTTAGTAGGTAGGTTCATTTAAGCAAGTAACCAGTGCTTTGGTAGTATGAATTTTTAAATGATATATTTTATAATATTGACAGTTAAGTTTATACATTCTGTAATTAGATTAGTTTATTTATATTGGCACTGGAAAAAAATATTGTTTCAAGAGAATAATTCTGTTATACCAGGTAAACTTTTCAAGAGTTATTTTCTTATATTACGTATTATATAGTTTTTTAGTGGATGTTGTTAACAAATCTCATAATTTTTTTTTGAGTAGAATTGAAGTGTACTTCAATATTTTAAACATTAAATACCTCACTGTATTCCGTATCTTTATATTACGGACAGTTATGTGGTTTTGTTTTCTCTCAGAAAAGGGGAATATTTCTTGCTACCGTCTGACGGTTTTAAATCAATATGTGGACATCTGTCGGCGCTTATCAATAATACATTTATTACTTGTAAACCATTAAATTTTGGAATCAGAGTATTGCACTTTGGGTCACACCCGTTTTAATGGTCCCCGAAAACAAATTATATTATGTAATCAGTGCTTTCTCCGTATGACATTTATGTTGTAAAATCCTGTTCATTCTTGCAATCAGGTTAAATAACACATTATAATTTCATGCCTCCAAAGCACTTTTTGGGATCTCCTACATCCAGATCACTCAAAGCCGAATATTTGAAAGTCTAGGATGTTATTAAGTAACTGAAACAGTTGCAGAGCTTTATGACAAATAAAGACCTGAAAATAATAGTCAAATCCATCAAATGACAACCTTTTCTGATGGTTAAAAACCATAGTTTATAATGTAAAAACAAATGATGTCTTGATATAATTACATACAGAGGATTGTTCTATTTGAATACAAATTTTCGTTGATTGAGGAAAAATTGCAATTTCGTGGATATTGGATTTCATTGTTTTGCCCAAGTTTGATATATGCAACAGAAAATATGTACTTCGATGAACATTTAATTTTGTGATAAACCTTTACCAACGAGACCCACGTAAATTGGCATCCAACGAATGATAATTAACCCACAGTAGTAGCAACACGACATGTACATGTTATTCTACTTTTTAATCCTTATCAATGTTCACCATGCTCTTTAAATGATAATAAATTATTGATCACAAAAATACAATATACGTAATGTTTTAAAATGATTTGTTTAATTTTGACACCTTCATCTTTTTCACTAAATAAGTCGAAATATGACTGAAGTATGTAAATTCGTCATGACACCAACTTAATGAGGTCCCTGTATTTTGTTATATTAAATATGATTACTATTTTAAAGGCAGCCTTTTTCTTTATCGCTTTTGGGTATACGTTCCATTGGCAATCATTCGACATTTCTTACTTTTATGTTAATGTCATCTCGAAGGGAGGTCGGATGACATGTTGTTAGTCTTCGTTTCTTTATATTATGTCATCCCGAACGAATGTCTTGTGACTTATTTCCATCTCTATTACCTTTCTTCCACCTATATTTGTTCTTGCGTTTCCTAAAGTACTATTTGACTCTTTATGAAAGGATACCATAATTAGGACAACCATATGCAGATATACAGTTAGAATTTTGAAAATATAGAGCTTTGGTTATACAATATTGGTTACAGGAATGAACGATGTACAGAATAAAGAAATAATCTTATTACAGAAAAAGGAGATAATAAATGCATTTGCATAAGAATTTTACAAAATAAGCCTAACTAGTAAAGATACAGGAAAATTACCAATAGATTTTAGTACAGAAACTAATGACTTCATAACAGACCTTTCTAATACGGTATGACATTTGCTTATCTTTAAGACCGTATGGTTATCTGTAGTAGCTTACTTCCAATTCATTTGCTACACAGTGGATAACTGGATACGGCAGTTATACATCATAATCTTAATCTTTGTATTTATAAAACCTGCTTCTGTTTCAGATTAGTTAAAAGCGCACATGAGCAAAATAAATTGTTGTCTGGTATTTACAAAATCTTAAGGACAGCCAAGGAAATAGAAAAGGTAACTCTTAATATTATTTATTTTGTAATACTTTAAATATGAATTTATTTGATATGGAATAAACACATTTTAGGCAGGGTGACTGGGTTTTAATGTTTTAGTATTATTTAAGAGGGTATGGGGATGAGGATGGTGTCCTTCATTTTTGTATTCTTTAATGTTTTTGACTCATTATTCTTTATCGTTAAAAATAATGGCTTTTCTGCTATTAATTGATAACTGTATTCTGGACATTGTTATTTTAAGTAATCAGTATATTCAATTCTTTAATATTTGCAATTATTCTTTATTATTTAAGCACCCTATTATTCTCTATTCTTTATTATTTTTGGCTCATATTTAACTTTTTGTCCGTTATTCTCTAAAAACCCGCATCCAAGGGCAACATCAACCCAAATGTAAATAATGATGAGGATGATGACGGATGGCTGCTCAACGTCCACAGGAAAATTAAATGTATATTCTGGACGAGATCATGTTATTGTAATATGAATATTTACTGTTCGTTATACTAGATTGACAAGCTGGGCCGGATGTTAAATGTGTTAGTTGACAAAGTACGAGTCTTCAGGAAGACATGTCAAACTCCTCGAAAACATTTGTCCGAGCCGACAAGTTCTTACTATGTAATGCCGCGTGCTCAGCGGAGAAGCAACAAATAACAATTTTAAAGAGACTTTTGTATGAACTTCCGATGCAATTCAGATGTAAATGCGTTGATACTGACGTGATATACATGAAATAGTTCAGTTTATAATTTATACATGAACACTTAAACACTTATTGACCTTTTTTTAAAATATTATTTTATGAATCATAGATACCAACTTTTATTTCTGTAATTTCTCTAGACATATCGATATGATGAGGATTCATAAAAAAAATCAACACAAAAGGTTCACATTTGGACTGCAGTAATTATAGATTCTTCAGTTTTGGTCTATGAGAATGTTGTGTTAGTTTAAGATATTTGGTCTTCTCTATGAATTTATTCTCTGATTGAATAGATTGATTATTAGTTAAAGACTTCGTAATAACCTGTTTTGCAAAATGTCAAGGACTTTTTCATCGTTACTGGTAGCCTTCTATACGTTTAATCTTCTAATGTGTTTCCTACAAAATCATCTTAAATTGGATCCCAGTATTTAAAAGAGGGACGAAAAATACCAAAGGGACAGTCAAACTCATGCCACTGGACGTCAAGCAATCAACAATCAATCAATCAATCAATCATAGATCGAAAACAAACTGACAACGCTATGGCCAAAAATAAAAAGACACACAGACAAATAATAGTACAGATGACACAACCTAGAAAACTAAAGACTAAGCAACACGAACCCCACCAAAAACTGGGGGTGATCTCAGGTGCTCCAGAAGGGTAAGCAGATCCTGCTCCACATGTGGCACCCGTCGTGTTGCTTTTGTTATTACAAATCCGGTAAATAGTCTAATTCGGCAAGTCACATTCGTGAAAAGGGAAGGGTATTGTAGTTACGACATAAGGAACATATCCGATATCATCTGTGAAACGGTTATTCCATAACGGTCAACTAACTCGTGATGGCGTCCAAAAAATTTACGAAGGGATGATTTCAACTTCACCATTTGGAACTCTTGGTTTAATAGCTTCCTTGTGAGCAGCAATCCTCTATCAAGGAAATCATGATAGGAAACACAAGCCCGGGAATACCGTATCAATTGGGAGATATATACTCCGTATGCAGGCGCTGCTGGAATGTTGCTACATAGAAATGGAAAGTTCACAATTGGGAAGTTAAAATCATCTCTTTTGTCGTAAAGTTTTGTTTTTAACCGTCCCTCATTGTCAATTTCTAGATGTAAGTCAAGATATGAGGCAGACTTAACTGTATCTGTAGTATCCTTTATCTCTAGTTCGATGGGATAGATTCGTTCAACATAGTCACCAAATTTAGTATTATTTAGTGAAAGAACATCATCTATATAGCGGAACGTAGAGTTAAAGGATATTGCTAACTTCTTATCTGTCTTCCTAAGAAGTTCCTGTAAGAAGTCAGCCTCATAAGAATAATGAAACAAGTCGGCAAGAAGAGGGGCACAATTGGTTCCCAGTGGAATTCCAACAGTCTGTTGAAAAACACGTCCTGGCTTCATTTACAAATGAATTACTGAAAATCGTCGGTGAACAATAGTTAATTACAGTCTGTAGAATTATGAGGGTCTGGATGGGGAGGGGTTCCTTCATTTATGTATTGTTCAAATTTTTATGCCATTTTTTCAATTTTTATAGTTTTTGCCCATTATATTCTATTCTTTATATTTTAGCTCCTCATGATTCTATTTTCCTTTTTTTTGTGTTCATTTTTCTCTATTCATTTTTTATCCATTATTTTTTATTCTGTAAACCCCTATCCTCACCCTAATTAATATTCCGTAAATATTTAGAAAACCAAAGTTAAGTGTTTTTGTTGTTCTGTTAAGGATGTAGAGATATTTACTCTCCGTTTTGACACTCTAGGTTTACCATAATTTTGTACCGTACCCAATTGATAAATTTTATTTCGTATACAGTGACTGACACTCCTGTTCATATTTATCTTTATTTTTCAGTTTGCGTACTTAATTAAAGATTCCCCAACGATGAAGAAATTGAATCATGCACCAGGGTTAGAACTATCGAACAGCAGATACAAATGGAGCAAAAGGAATTATCACAATATAAAAAAGTGGTTGCTAGACAAAAAACTTTGAAAGTCCATATATTTATCGTGTATCATCAGCCATTGAACGTACATGTTTCAATGGTCTGGCTATTAATCAACAAAAATTTTATCTGCATTTTGAGTCGGTGTTGTTTTTAATAGACAGTTTATGAATGTTTATATAATAGTATTATTTATATTTTATATGAAGATATGTGAAATTTACGATTAATATATAAGCTGTGTCGGTTAGAAATCGGTCGTATGCAAGTTCACGTAAACATGTACATGTATAAGACTTTGATTGATTTACAAAAATACAAAATAAAAGATGAATTTTGGTCTGTTTTATAGGGTTCTTATAACAATTCAATATTCAAACAGTTACAGACTTTCCGAGGATATTTTTTTCAACTCGAAATAGTTTGGTCAACAGATGTATTGATATTTCGTGTGCATAATGTCAATTTCTATCAGACGCAGCTCATATGTAATTAATGTAACATGTTTGTGTAAAATAACTAGATATCCTTATACATATCCATCTTTTGTTTAGTTTCATAGGCCAGCTAAATTTGATTGTTACAATTTATCTAATTTGAATATGTAAGTTCATTTCAAATTGATTGTTTCATGACACATCTAGGATTTTTATGAATATTCATCTTGAAATAATTTTATCAAAATTTTGGTATATCAAAAGAAAATGTTACTACTAAGGGTTAATGATTAATATATTGAAGTTCATTCGTCTCTTTTTCCTTATGCATGTCTTTTGTCGTATTATGTACATGTGTTATGCACAGTACATTTGACTGAAATTGCAATTACAAAATAAAACGTGAATTAACTTTCGGAATACTTCAATTAATTTGATAAAAAAATATTTTCAGCATAACAGATATGGGAAGAAAAAATGGTAGATTGTGTTCTTTTTCAAACAACAGAAACATAAGACAAAACTGAAACACTAAAATGACCGAAAAGAGGGTAAAGCCGACAAAAGAAGATGAAACACTACATATTAAACCATAAAAGAGAAACAAAATAGTATTTACAGAAATACCGAACACCAGGGTAAATTTAAAAAGGAAAAAGTCAATAAAACCTTTAAAAAATCCGACGATCGCATATATCAACCAACGGACCAAACGACTGTCATATTCCTGACTTGGTATTGTCATTTTGCGAACAAAATGCTTGGTTACACCTGATATTTTAACTAGCTAAACCTCCCAATTGTGTGACAGGTTTTGTAAAAGTTTCATTATATTGACAAAAATGGATAAACAGACATAACTGGCTAATGTGACTGACAGAGAACCAAAAACTGTGAAAACAAACAAAACAGACAAACAACACAACCGACTTAAAAAAAATCTAAACAAACATTTTAAAATCAAATTGACAAACTTTGTGCAGTTATTGTAAGCATCTTATGGGCCGACTAAAAGCTTATCTCCAAGTAAGTTTTCTCAAACTATATCATAATGGATATATATGTGGGAAAATGTTTCAAAAACTAATATTGTCAAATAATACAAGTTACAAAAGAGGGCAACAAGAATCATTTTATAGGCAGGTTTTGATATCTCTTCATCAGTTATGTTTAAAAAGTTAAGATGGCTTACCATTTATAATACATTAATAGTTTATGATAGTAATGGTTAATAAGTGTATGAATATACTAGCACCTGAATACCTATCTGAACTATTTTCAAGTTGTTCAGTTGTTATTAAATTCGCATTAAGATCATCTTTCCAAAATAATATATTTGTTCAATGATATGAAACTAATTATGGTAGATAAACTTTTATGTATTCTGGAACCTTGTTGTGGAATTCCTTGCCTTTGACTTTGAAGGAAAGTAAAAGTGTAAATGCTTTAAAAACAAAAAGTCAATGTTATCTCTTGAAAATACACGAATAGAACTTTTTGCAGTTTTAATGTAAACATTTACTACAAATGTACTTTTTATTTAAGTAAATTGTAATTGTTTATCTGTACTATATATGTGTTCGTGTATGCAGTGTACTATATTTTTGCTTTATTACCCTTTTGTTTATGTATTATTATCTTTTAATTAATTGCGTATTCTTATATGCAGATTAGAAGGCCACGGGGCGGATTAACTGTTATGTTAATTGTGTAACCTTCTGAAAATAAAGAATTCATTATATAAATAAATCTGACAAAGACACCAGCTAAAATGTTTGTGTAGCAGATAGGACATACAGTATAGTTAACATAGTGTAATACAAAACCTCCTCAAAATTCGATGTAGAATCAATTTATTCCGGTGGATAAACAACTCA